TTTACATGTATGCAACAAATGACATATTTTCTCGTTTGCCGATTTACCATTGATTGACTACTAGGATGAGAAATAAAAAACGAAACTCACTAAAAAACAAAATTTCTCCTCAGTTATTTCTTAAATGCTATAATTGTTACTTTCCTTTATACAACCTTTCTTTCTCTTAGATCTTAGCAATAAGAAATAAGTGTGATAAGAACGCTAAAACTGAAAGTTTGCTGCTTTAAGACCTTTATTAATCATTATTCATTTTAACCGACAAACTTCCCTAGTTTTAAATTTGAATCATTTGCAAAATTCCTTGGATTGAATTTTCAATAATGGTCTCAATATAAAACCGAAACTACTTGTATATCCTTTTATACAGAAACGCTCTTTCTCTCTCTCGTATACGTAACTATTTAAGAAATAATTTAATTTTGACCGCTGGTCTGTATTTTTTTTTTTAGTGTGGCTTCGTTATGTGAAGTTGTAGTCTAATACGGTATAATAATCATCAACAAATCTGCCGCTTAATCTGTAATAATGTTTTCGAATTAACAATTGAAATCTCCCAGGCAGCAGTTTTATTGGTATTTCTTAATGGAGAAGGAAATTTATTAATTGACAGGAGTTCAAGAGGGACAAAAAACTTCACCATCTACATACAGAGGATCAAGTTCTTGATTGAAAAGTCACAGAAATGGACGTCTCTACCTCTCAAAGGACTTAGATTAGTTTATGGATATATTGAAAAGACTATAACCGGTAGTTGAACCAGGATGCACGATAAAAAAGGGTTTCTTGTACTCTAAAAACGTATATATTTGCACTAGTAAGAACCATTAAACTGTCGAATTTTACTTACCTTGAACTTCTCTGGGCTTTTTTTAGTTCAACTCATATATTATCAAAAAATCTTCATTTAGAGATGCATCCTGCTTGAGATAATTCTTAGCACGATAAAATTCAAAGATTTTTTTCCTTGGAATCTCTGATTGGGTGGTTGCTGTCGATATTAAAATTGGAAAGGCACTCATCATACTGAAACCTTTGGGATAAATGCTGGTGAGAGAAATTGTGTCAAAATCTCTGAAATTTTAACTTAATATCACATTCCCCTGTTTAGTTTTTAGCTAAATATATTCTTTCGCCTAGTGAATGACTGAGAAGATGTTAATTTAGAAAATTACAAAAAAAAAATCGTCTAAATGCATAGATCTACATGAATTCGACATATTTTTAAATTGCAAAAAGTGTTTGAAGTATTTATGGAAGTTAAGTGCATTCATCGGCTAAAGGACACGTTCCCATTCGTGCAGAAAGGAAAAAAAATTATGTCATGTATTTTAAAGCAAGAGGCCTATGGGCCACAACTCTTCTTGAGTCACATTCTTCCTCACAAATGAAATCCCCGATTGTTGCTCAGTTTTTGAACAATTTCAATCTTCATTTTTTGTTTAAAATCTTTACTTGTGCTTCAACAGTTTATACATGTATACATGTACTCTTTGTAATGTATTGCATCCCTTATGTGGCTGAACCAAGAAGTTAATAATTATAATTAACCTCAAATCTACTGTTCTGTACTCTACATGGAAGGCACGGGGCATTTCAGTGGAAATTCAGGAGGTGTGAATGAATATTTCAGTAAAAATATAAGGATACATAAAACAAAAATTTGATGCATGGATTGATATATATTTTTGACTGATTTTGAATAGAAATGACATAAATAATAAATCCCAGAAATACAAGTATAAAGAAATCGTATGTTTTCTTTGGTGCTTAGATATGCGACTTTGTTTCGTTTTCTATGTAATTCACTAATTCTATGCAAAATTTTGTACATATTTTTAATATTGTGACAAAATCTTACAAAATTCTCCTACTTTACCTGGCAAATATTATTCGGGTTACCTATTTAATTATAAATCCATGAGAAATATTGTTGTTTCACCGGGTGTGTTCAATTTGTTAAACTCTGCACACATCACTCAGCACGGACTGACAATACTGGTGAGTTGGTTTTGCTTTCTCGCATTTCTACTTTGAATTTTCTGGATTACAGTTTTCATATTTTTTCATTAATGCACAATAAAACTTCTATTTTTCTTAAGTATTAAGGATAAAGTTTACTTTGTGAAAGTGCAAGGATGTGTCGATCAAACGCGTCTCGAAATTCGTAGTTTCAATTATTTCCACATAAAAGAAGTTTCTGAACACGATTTTATTACATTTCCGTGTGAAATGCAACATATAAGTTATGATATTATACAGATATTTGAGAAAATATTAACTTCAAATCTGTGTCCAGGGCCCTTTAACAACGTTGTTAACATGGTTAAAACTTTTGTACATTTTATGTAAACTCTATGTCCATACACAGATACAGCAAGCATGCAGAACTTCCCGATGACCAATAAACGGAAAATGGTACGCAATAGAAGGTGTGAAGCTGAATTTTTGAATACTCTATTTTCGTGAGGACGGAAATTCTGAAAGGTGTGAATATAACCCCGCGGGCTGAATTTTCCAATAAATTTACAGTAAAAGGTGTGAAAAGTGGGAGACTGTCCTATATACATATACCTAAAACCAATTTTGCATTCTGCCGTTCCGTGCGCAATATACACATATATTTACCAATGTATACATGCGCAGATCTAGAGGGGGTCCAGACCCCCCCCCCCCCGAAATTTGCAGAGTTTTTAAAAGACATATTGAACCAAATGAAAAAAAAATGACTTTGGACCCCTCCCCGTAGAAAACATGAACCCCAACACCACCACGAAATAGTTTTTTTTTTTTTTTTTTTTTTTTTTTTTTTTTTTTTTACGTTTAGGAATGAACTTTACGTTTTTATATCGTATTCTACCTGGCTGTTTCGAAGGAGAAAGGGGGGGGGGTGTCTTGAACATAAACATGTAAATTAACCATTATTTTGTAGTAACAATTAAGCCTTATCATTTTGAAAACGTCAAGAAGAGTTGTTTGTGATATGAAGGTCAAGGCCATTTTATTTAGAATCCAAAACAAAAACAAAATTTTTTTGGCTTGTCAATAAATGTTCTGGGTTTGATACGGTTGGGAAAGGAGTTTAATTTTTTCTTATTTATTTTATTATTATTATTTATTTATTTATTTATTTATTTTTTGGTTGTCAAGAAATTTCTGGATTGGATTTTTTTTTTGACTGGGGTGGAACCTCCTCCCCCCCCCCCCAACCCCCCGAAAAAATTCCTGGATCCGCGCCCGGTAAACATTCAGGATGACCGTCTTTTCACCTCTTCAGACATCGAATATTCATTATTCACCAAGTATGTAATTTTTCATTTGCATTTACTGTGGAAAAGAAGAAATTTATTTCAATTTCATTCTGAAAGTAAAGTAAAAACACAATCATGCATGCCCTGTTTTTCAATTGCAAAATGTCACGGGCAGGAAATGGTAATACATTTTTAGGTTTTAAATCTTTTAATACAGTTTACATATATACAGTTATAGTTTATTTCCAATCAAAAGCCTACAGAATGGGGTGAGGGAATTGCAAGTGTTCACATGTAATTTCTAATGTCAATAAACATCACGTTGAAGAAAAAAAATTGTGAGGGTATTACATGTATTAGTTTATTACCGCATTTTCGTGAGGATAGAAATTCTGAAAGGTGTGAATAGAACCCCGCGGGCTGAATTTTCCAATAAATTTACAATAATAGGTGTGAAAAGTGGGAGACTGTCGTGCATGTATCTCAAACCAATCCAGTCCAGTAGAACGCGGGGGGCACTTTTTTCTAAGTATAGTAGTAGTATTTTGTTATAATAGTAAATTTTCCTTTAGATGCTGTTTGCCCCCCCCCCCCTTCAACACACAGACCCACTTTTTGATGTTGTAAGGTGGAGCACTGGCAAATTCCAGGATTTGGACAGTAAAGGAGCTTTTTTTTTTGCTCCTCAGATTTTTTTTTGAAGTTGCCTCCCCCTTTTGAAACCATTGCTACGGGCCTGCAGTCTAGCATTCTGTGCACAATATACACATATATTTACCAATGTAAACATTCAGGATTACCGTCTTTTCACCTCTTCAGACATCGTATATTCATTATTAATCAAATATGTAATTTTTTATTTGCATTTTATGTGGAAAAGAAGAAATTTAATTCATTCCCGATTAAGACATCAAACGTGCAAGAAAAATATTACTATACCTCTGCCAAGAAATGTTTTAAAGTAAAAAGATACATGCATGTCCTTTTTTTTTCAATTGCAAAATGTAACGGGAAGGAAATGGATATACATTTTCAGGTTTTAACACAAGTTAACAATATACGGTTAGTTTCCAATCCAAAGACCACAGAAAGGGGTGATGGCGTTACAACTGTTCATGACGATGAAACATCGCGTTGAAGAAAAAAAATGTGAGGGTATTAATAGTTAAAAGCATAAATATTATCGATTTATTTAATAATCATACATGAGATACAAAAATAAATCATATGCATGTACATAGGAGAAATTCCTGTTTAGGAAGTAGACACAACCAGACAAAAATTCCCCGACATGTAAAGTATAAATTGGCAATTACTGGGGGAGGATGGTACTTACTCCCCCAACCCCAACCCCGGTTCCTACGAGCCTGTCAAGCATGGTGTGGTTAGTGTTTAGTCACTGACTTGGTAAGAACAAGTTGTATTTTTGAATTATCATTATTTTAAGCATATTACTAATTTATTTAATATTCATAATTTTGGTATATATTTTTTCTGTTCAAAAGGGCAGCTTATATGTTAAATTCTCTCTCTCTCTCTCTCTCTCTCTCCGTGTGTGTGTGTGTGTGTGTGTGAAATGCTAGTCAAGAAATTTGAGTTTCTTGACATTATCTTTTATATTAATGTTTGTGATAATTTTTTTGGATATTAAAACATTTCCATCGCTCTTTGTTCCTACAGGCATACAAGTCATGGTAGAGACAAAATTATATAGTGCACTTTAAATTACAACGATAATTAGTCAACTGATTCAATGCTTAAATTTTATTTACTTCAAGCATATGGATCTTCACGAGAGAATGTTGGTAAACCGACAATACTACTGGCATTAACTGGTACAGAGGTTAGATAGTCCCTCCAGTGGAAGGTCTGAGCGTCCCTAAAGCAGTACTGAACCTCCAGGTTGGCGGGGTTGTCCGTGGAGTACAGTATATAAAAATTACACATCTCGTCTTTGTTTGTGGATCTTGTAAAAGTAACATATTTCAGTTAATATTTCTGACTAGTGAAAACAGGCTCAAGTTTGCTAAAGAGATTTATGACACATTACTAAATGTATATCGTACATAATTAAATCAGTTATCAAGATAACAATTAAAGCGAATCCTTTGCCATTTCTTCGATCTTTTTTTTTTTTTTTTTTATAACAGAATGAAAAACCAGAGGTGTATTTTAGAATGTCACCCTGAAAAATACTTCTGTTCAAAATGTCGACGTCAATCATACTTCAAATACGCTTTCAACATTTATAGTACCTACCCGATCTTTGTTGGAAATGTCCTGTCGCTACTCATCGTACAACGTGCTGCCTGACAGGAGAAAAAAGTACATTATTAATGATAATATATCCTATATATTAAAACAGTTATAGAAATCACAATTAATGTATACGTGTGGACTAAGCGGAGGCCATAGATCTAAAGCGCTTGAGCCCCCACCCCCACCCCCACCCCCGGTCAATTGAGACAGCTAAATATTGTATTAGAGATCATTATTGTAAATCCGTTGAATCGCCCCTCCCCACCACTTTGTGACAAATTCATCGTTTATTGATAGTCTGGGCTCCGGTGCACCAAATGCTTATACTCACGACACGCCGGATGGTCAGACAGTGAAGTATGCTGTATATATCCTATCAGATTAAAGTGTTAACACTTGGCACTGGCGGAGTTAGAGGGGGGGGGGGGGTTCAGCCCCCCTCTTTTGAGACCAAAAATATGCATAAGATTAATACTAGTAAATCAGTATTTTATTGGGGTATATTGCATGAATTATACCTAAAATGTAGCTAAAATAAGTCGAAAAACTGTTCCATAGAACTCCTAAAACCCCCATCCCAGAGCCCCAACTGGATGCCCCCCCCTCCCCTTTTTCAAGAATCCTGGATCCGCCACTGCTGGGGTAGGTAGTAAATTTCGAAGACTGTTGTAGGTGCATAGTTAGGTTTATTTCATTTCGTTGTTTTTCAGCAACAGTTACGCAAGAAACTGACACCGTCCTAAGATTTCCTTGTTACATTATAGTTGTTATGTCGCCAATCATCGCCTTGTTTGCTATTGTGACCCCCACCCACCCAGGCCCCAATTTCTGGTTACACTTCTGCTTAAAATTAATAATTTTCATTAACAACTTGCTTTGATAGGATTTTTCTATTCATTTTTATTTGAATTTTCTTATCATTGATAGTGCATGAGCAAGGTATATGGGAAAACCATGGAGAGACACCTTCCAGAGCATGACATCTTGCACTTACCAACATGTCTCCTCGGCGTATATCCATGCCAGGGGAATACACGTCATAAAAAGCCTTTAGAAGAATAAATGAATGAATAACTGTTGTGTTTGCAAATATATTATAGTACAGTCTCTGATTCAATGAGCAGTGAAACAAGACATTAAACACTTTGAATACTAAATTGTACATCTCTTTTTGGCATTCAGTACCTGGGGTAGCTGGGGGGACATCCGTCCAATTTCGGTCCACTCTCCGTGACGTATCCTATATGCTGAGGTGACTACGCCTAAGAGAAGAAGAAGCGTGCACAATATGTCAAGGAATTAAATAAATCAAATGCACTATTCGATATTTTGATTTTTTTTCTTTGCAGATTTTTTATTCGTAAAAACATCATTTAAAGTATTTACTGTGGATGCATTTTTATATAAATGAAGTATAACCTAAGTTGTGCGAGTGCGTTCGGAACCCGATTGGATTTATTGTGTAGTTGTTATATTGGCAGACAGACTCCAGATGAAAATCTATGAAAGAAGAAAATACCTCTGCTAGTATAGAACATAACAAGGGAATTCGTCTGACACAAAGTTATCCCATCCCCAATATTAATGCTGTTGCCAATGTATCTCTTTAGACTACTCTATTTTTTAAATAATGGGGTAAAATTAAATTATTTTATACCCAAATATAAGAAAGAGAGAAAAAAAAGTGATGTAATGCTACATGTAAGTTTAGTTAAAATTTGATCATATTAGAACGCTTCTAAACTCTTTTCCATAAAATAAAAGCGACCATGAATTAATTTTAAAAAAGTATGCGCATATCCTACATCAGTCACTATTATCATTAGAAAAATCACTTTTAGATCAACAAAATGGATATGATAATCAAATGATATGTACAATAAAAAATAACATTTACGTACTTTGTATCATTGGTGGTATGTATCCGTAATTACCCAACACGTAGAATCCAGCTTGTTGAGGCTGTCTGAAAAAACATATATTTGACATACATGCAGAATAGACAAAACAAAACTGAAATTGGTTTTCTATTATCTTACCGTGTGTAAGTCATATGCAGTGTTACTCCCGAGTCATCACCTTCTGAAACTAAAAAGGAGAAAAGCCATTTTAAATTCTCGTAATCTGTATACTTAGAAATCTTATTTAGGGCGATACCTAGATTTACCGAAATGTCCAAAGAAATTACCGAAATGCCCCTTGAATCTACCGAAATGCCCCTTTATATTAAATACACTGTATACTTTTTTGATATTTTGTTTAACATTGTGTCCATATACATGTAAATAGAATGGGTAGTAGACAAATTTTGTAAAAATCTGCATTTACCTCCATCTGGTAAATTCAATATTTACATCACGATACTTTGTAATTATGATAATTAAAAAATGTACTCACTTTCCAGGGTACCTTTATAATGAAGCTGAATGACCAGGTATTTGATTGATGTACTGCCGCTAACTCGAAAACCAACACCTAAAAAAAATGAAAGATCCCAAACTGTAACAAACTTTATGAAGAAGCCATTTCGCTATACGATTATTCCGTGCATGCCCACCTTCCGGAAGTTCTCTAGAGTCTGCGTCCATTGCCCATGCGTACACGATTTCCCGTTGTCCATCCTTACACACAGAATCATCTGATCTGTCGTCCATCTCCCCACACGCCCTGAAAGGATAGAAAACTAAAATACTCATATCACAACTCTTTGCCAGGACTGAGCAGTGAGCATTCAAGTTCCAAATTGAAAATGGGCATTAACTGTTGCAGGCCTAGGATGTTATGTACAATTGCCATTTTTAACATTCCTTTCTTGCAGGAAATGACCCAAAGATTCTGTGAAAGTCTCATTAAATTATACTCAGTGGTGTAGGAGTTGTTATCCGTAGATGAGTGATTGGTACCCCTCAGTGTTATAGAAAGAATGACGGTGTCCGTTTTTGCTATGGGAAACCCCATATATATCTGTTCGAAACGAAAAATAAGGAGGTTCACATTGGCACTATGTAAAAAAGATTCTGTGAAAGTCTCCTTAAATTTTATTTTTTATATTGGAGGAGATGGGTACCCTCAAGTATTGCGGACAAAAAGACGTACAAGCTCATCATCGGGGGTATGAATATACAAGTATATGTGTTGAACACCCCCCACCCCCCCTCCACATATTTTCTCAGCCAGTAACCGCAGAAACATAACAATTTTTTCGCCGAATAAAGCATGCAGCATGAAATCCAATGTTTTAATCTTCAGAGAAAACTTTATTGTATTTATCCTTATACATGAATATTATATTTCACAGAGTCCTCCGGTTCTTACCAGGAATCCTCGGTAGAGCCGGGTTCACCACAGCCATAAACCATCATATGGTGTGCTATTTCTTTTGAGGCATGGGGTTCATATTTCACTTGAAAAAAAAAACATTTAGTATATACATGTATATGTATATCAAACACCTTCTATTGTCTTGTAGTGGAGAAATAGAGTCTTAATTATAAACTATAGCATAATATGTACATGTATAGATATGTATATTAGCATTTATACTTGAATCAAACTCACAAATATATGCCTCTCTCTCGTCTAGTTTAACACCATGACAAATAAGATCGTCTGCCTGTGAGAAATTTACTTTCTTCATAAATAATTATTTTTGAAATGTTTTTCTTCATATATGTGAAATTCCAGAGACTAAGACTAGCAAAAATATTCAATATTCGCTCTTCCCAGTTTCCACCATAAATTATACTCACATGTTGTGGTTTTACATTTGGCATACGTATGGTTTTTGTGAAGAAGTTGGGATTTTTAAGGTATTTTAGTTCACATCGTGGAAGCAGTAGACAAGTTCCCAATATTATTAGTAAAATTCTGTGCGTGAGAAGTAATTCCATTTCGTTATCTTAACTTCGTAAGGAAAGGATAGTTCAAGGTCAAAGATCATTGCAGATTATACTATTGTACTGCGTTAGAATGAGCACGTATATACATCAAACCATAAATTTATAAATAAAAAAACCAAAGGTATCGAAATTGTTGGAACTTTGTTTTTTTTTATTTTTTTATTTTTTAATTTTTTGGTTAAGATTTAGAATAGTGTTCACAGATGAGTTTCAATTACAGAATAATTTATTACAAGCCCTGTCCTATTCCCATCACTAATATACCTTTGAAAGTAATTACCAGAAGAAAGTCACCCAGTTGAAAATGTTATAATGACTTCACGGTCAATGAGATAGACCTTTAAGGTCAGACGACACGTTCCTCAAAAACAGATAATTTCTCCCAAGAATTTGTCAATAAAGTATTGCTACTTCAACAAGTTTCCACACAAAAATAAATTGGGGTACCTTACCAAGCATTCGTGCAAGATACCAGGGGATGGTGTTTCTTATATAATTCTATAGGAAATCACTAACATTGCCAATATCACAATTGTTCATGTATTCATTTTTTGTACATTTTGAAACAGTTTAGAAATCACAAGAAAATGATAATTACAATTAATTTGTTGTATATTACGAAGAGATATAGAACAGATGTTTGAGGAACGTATCGTCACACCTTAACATATGAGACCGCATAAACCAGAGGTCAATATACTACACCTTTAACTCCTTTTTGAATCGGGAAAATATTTGGAAACTGTCAACTTGCATGAGTTTTTAAAAAAAATAATTGTGAAAAGGCAAGTTCCAAAGTGCAAAATATCGGAAAAGTGATGACTTTCATATCCTCTCATCTTACATTTGTATTGAATTAATTGACTTAAATTAATTACCGGTAATTTATTAATTTAAAATATCACACGACAATCACTTTTACCAACTTTATTGTAAACATTTAAAATATAGCCAACATTTTCATAAAAAATAATGATATATATTAATACTTCCTAACGTTACTAAACATAAACATAAACAAACATTTATTCAACAAAGTGCGTAACTTTAAATTTATTCAACATTTGTAAACTTTTTCTCTTTGATAAATTATGCTGCTATTACAAAATACCTCAGTACATGCATTTTTAGTATAAATATAACGAATTTAGAGACAGTGAAATTTTCATAACATTTGGTGAATTGACTTATCAATGAAAACCATTACTGAACACAATAACCAGACTCCATTTTAGAACATTTCAGAACTGGGGATAGTAGTCAGGATCGCCATATGCATTGTTGAGGTAGTCAAGCAGGTGCGCCAGGCGTTTATCCTGTAGATTCTGTTCCAACGTCACATCCTTCGCGGAGATCCCCGGATGTGCAGGAGATGAGATTTTGAGGAACACATTTTTGTTGGGAATGATGCTGGCGGACTGAGGGGCATCCTTGAGATTCAGTTTGTGCTCCAGTGGCGAGTTATCCCAGTAGTAGTATGGTGGACCGGGAGAGAAACAATTGTGGTCTCTGGCTGTCTTGGTTCCATCCACAAAATACATGATATAGAAATTACACATCTCATCGTTCTGGGTTGCTCTAGAACAGAAAAAACAGATAAATCAGTATAATTGTTGCGGTGATTTTTTTGTATTAGGTGAATCCAGGGTTTTCCGTTTTCGGGGAGTAAGGAGGGTAGCGAAAACGTCAACTTTTTTTTCCAAATGTTTTTCGACATTGCATCGAATATAAAATATTTGTTTTAGGCTAGCGTTTTATTAAAACACAGGATATTAAAAATATTTAAGGGATGTTTTTAAGTTTTGTGTGAGTTATTGGTGTGTAAATCACACAGACTTGTCACGTAGGCATATTTCATGAAGCGCGCTAGCGCTTCATGAAAAATATGCCTACGTGCAAGTCTGTGTGATTTACACACCAATAATTCACACTAAACTTAAAAACATTCTTTATATTTACATTTTACAAGTTTAAAAGCACCAATAATATACTCAATATTTGAATTTCTTGCTGCCCTTTATCGTTATATTTTTATTAACGTCTCTGTAGTCTCATTGTGATATCACTTTAGCGCGAGTTTCACCGTGTATGTTTCTAGGCGTGAGTATACACAAAAATGACTTTCAAATCAATTTCACATTTGGCTTAGTAGAAAAACACAGCAAATGTAAATATTCCAAGTTATACTGCAATGAGGCAGGAATATCTCTTTGAAGTCGGACAATGTATACAAATCCTTAATACTACAACTCCTTACCCTATCTGGATAGTTCTCGATTCATCGTTTTTCATTGTACACCTAGCGGCCTAAAAAATAAAATTCCATTTGGAAAATAAATTTCGAAAATAAAATTTAGTTCCATTTGGTATCGGAAAATGTATTGAAACAATAAGTCTCACCAGAATGTCTCCTTTGCGTACTTCTATATTAGGCGTGGTCACATTGTAAAACATCTGAAAAGGATGTTACTTGATCATAGTAAAATTCTCTATACTATAGAGTGCAATAAATAATCTATACTATATAAAATTTCTATACTATAGAGTGCAATAAAAGCTTTGTATTGTTCATAAAACGCAAGGTTAAAAAAGTTCTTTTATAGAAATACATTGAATTCAAAACAAAAATTGTAGATTTTAGGGTTAACAGGAACAATACATAGTTACTCCTCTGTGATTTAATAGCGTGAACATATAAGTTACAGAGGATTTTATAATACACACCCATCCTTTTTTCTTGTCATTTGAAATATTTGGTTAAAAACATGAAAATATTGTGTGTCACAATGATAAATATTCCAAACTAGTGTGAGCACCAATAAATAATTGAATCTTCCGTCATTGTGACATTTGGATATAACTTGATCATAGAACATGTATCATATATATACTGCACACTGTTAGATATCTGATATAACCCAAATACATATCATATATCACCTGTGGTTTATGGGGGCTCATTCTACCGATTTCTGTCCATTTTCCGTCTCGGATGCGGTAGCCAGCAGTCACTTCACCTGACAACAAACACAGTCTGTTACCGATCTCATCTCAACCACAGGTAAGGGATACATGTATATTTTGATATATACAGGGAAATAAACGAAAAAAGAAACCTGTTGCATATTTTCTTGTATTTATAAGTTTCAATTTGCAAAGCTTTTTTTTTAAATTCTGCTATCATTTTTTTTTTTTTTTGCTTGTCATTTTCAGGAGGAAAAGTTTCCCTTAAATTCCTGCTTAATTAATAAAAAATAAATCCACCAAATTTTATTTTCCGTTAGATCTCTTTCATACTAAAAAAAATGTTTTTAAAATAAACTCTTTTCCCGCGTAAGTCAGCTTGGTTATAAATTAAAAGAGTTCGTAATGGTAAAGTTGTATTTTCTTACCATGTGTATGTGCATGCGTCCTGAAGGCGAATGGGTGCATAACGATGTTCTCAGATATTTCACAGGCAGTTTCCATATACTCTACACATAAAACAAGGTACCAAAGGGAATTCAGTATCATGATAGGTTATAATTTAAGATATTTACATAACTTGGGATGTATATGCATTATTCGACTTACCAACAGACTTTGGAGGAATACTTCCGCCAGTTCCCAACAGATAGACACCTGCTGACCGGGGCATTCTGAAAAAAAATGTAACATTAAGATTCCCCTGGTTAATACCCCCCCCCCTCCCCCTTATGAATAAGTGTAACTCTCTCCTTGAGAAAATTCGGACAGATAAACCAGGGAGCTACAGATCCAAGTATTGTAAAAACCTTCAATTTACGGCGCCGCTTTTTTGTCGAACCTTGGGGTATTTCATGTATTATATGCGTTTCCCAGCCAAAAGCATGGCATCCGTTAATTAACCATGTATTTTACTCCTAAACATGATGCTTTATTTACCTTACAAGGGTCCCAAATAGCGTGACCCCAACATAGATGTAGGGATGCCAATTTTTTGAAACTGACATTCCAAAGTCACATACGGCTGTATGTAAATAAGGTATCATGCTTAGGAGTAAAATATATAGTTAATTAACGGATGTCGTGTGCTTTTGGTTGGGGAACACATAATAAATGAAATAATATCTCCAAGGTTTTTACAATGCTTGGATCTCTCTGGTAGACAAACCAGTAGTTCAAATTTTCTCAGAGAGCTGCAGCTAGAAATAAGATGTAATATTTCAGATTTACTCACGGACTCGTCGTGGTACGGAGAGTGACACCAGAACTGTCCTTGCCATTTTCTGACAAAAGGAAAATTAAGAACTCATCACAATTTTATTCAGTAAATTTCATGCTCATTATTCACACTCTATAAAACCTAACTTCAAATTCTACAGAATCAGCTAAGAAACTCACAATTCTGTAAAATCACAGAGGTAACTTAAAATCCTGAAAAAAATTACAGACGTAACTTAAAATTCTGCAAAAATCACAGACGTTAACATTCTGTAAAACCACAGACGTAACGTAAAATTATGTAAATTAAACCACAGATCATATATCTTAAAACATGATAAACAACCATCCTCACAACGTTGGACGGCAACGTGTTGACTCGGGACCCCTGACTTGTTAGGATGATGGGACATGGGATAATTTTCTAGATCAAGTACTACTGGTCCCCCGGGGTAGCGCACTTTGCTGCTGGGACAATACCCCCAACCTTTTCATATATTTCAAAATTTAGATTAACGGCATATACCTTAGTTAGTTGTCATATATTGTATCACAACCCCAAAAAAAAAAAAAAAAAAATACGTGTTCATATATTTTTGGGTTGAAGCCATATTTTACACAGATTTAAATCAAATTTCATAGAGAAAACATTAATCGTAAACATTTTTTTGAATTTGCACATTTATTTAGCTATTTCGTCTACCCTTTTCACAGAAAGGGAGGGTGTGTGTGCGAACGATTGCTCCACAGTATTGCTAGAGGTGCAAATTTACTATGGGAGTCCAATAGTGGGCAAGCCCCACAGAATAATATAAAATAATAGTTTATACTGACATTTTTATCATCAGTCATCATTTCAAAGTTTGTAGTAAAACTTACTTGGTGGCAGGAAGTTATCCACATTCTTGTAGTGGACTTGTAGAACCAGATATTTGATGTCGGAGTCCCCTCCTACTTTAAATCCTACATCTGCAATATATAGATGTGGTCGGTCATTACACAATGTCTTCTATATGTAACACACTTGCCTTTATACTAAGCTACAAAAAATAAAATTCATGTTGTTCTTTTTTATGTTGCAAAACACAACACTTATTAAATGATGTCTTGTTGAAAACGTAGTTTTACTCGGTACGTAACAAAAACATGTGCAAGCCATTTCCTACACTGTAATTTCAGAAAACGAATTTTTAAGTCACACAAAATTTACTCAATCTCAGTGTTAAATTACAATAAAATGAGATATTTTTGCCATTTTGATATTAAGACACAATTTTCAAATATTATATCACGATGCATTGCAGAAATACCCTTATATGTAGACACATATAATTACATTTATCAACAAAAATCGAATGCCAATATTAATAAAATAATCAAGAAATAAATAACAAGGTTGAAAAATTCTATGGGAAGGGCTTCTCAGTAGATTTTATTATGTAAAAACCTAGTTCATTTCCCACTTGTTATTTATTACTTAAATATGTTACGTTTAAGACGAATATTACACGAAAAGCCAGCCATATCACTGTATCGTGACACGCAGTGACCTAGAAGTTGGTCATGAAAGTTCGCTTCGCTCCAAAATTTGAATGTTTCCATCGATGTTTAAGCCTAGTTAAGTTCCAGAAATTTCTGTTTATAATGATAGTACAATGATCGGTGTTGAGAACAATCTTATTATTTTATGGTTTCAGTCAAAGGCGGTGATATCGTTTGTTTCAGTTTACAAACCTTCAAAAGAATTTCGGGCTTTAAAGGTAAGCACGATTTTAATACGATTATTCAAATTATTCTTCACATCGAAAGAGGAAGATCTAAATAAATGGACATCTGTTGATTGAATCCATATGTTTCAATTATTTTACCTCTGTCATCGGTATCAAGTTAGAAGTTCAGAAACCAGTTTCACTGTGACATAAATACGAAAGCTAAGATGTATTAATATTCGCCCTATGACCTCTGGCAACCTATAAGTTCATCTAGGGAAATTTATTTGCTTATAGGCCTACGCGTATATTATATATAAGAATAAGGGAGGTCAACTGAGTGCATTGGAAAAACCAAATTTCATATTATTTAAAACAAAAGCTAAATCAGGAAAAACCCATAATGCAAACGACTCTGGAAAAAAATCTAAATATAGTAACAATTGAAAGGTGACAAAACTGTGTGCAAACAGCACGCGCAGTTTGTCGTGTGCAAAAAATGGAAAAACCCCATAGGGTTAACATCCATATGAAATAGTGAAATAAGGAAAAACCCATCGCTATAAATAGACAGAAAAAAGTATAAAAGCGTAGTAAATTTGAAACGATTCTCATTCTGACAGCAAGTCTTTTCCTGTCAACATGGACTTTAACATTGCTTTGAAAAAACTTTTCCAATCTCAACAGCGTTTAGGACCAAGAGCAAGGGAAAAACAATTAGTAAGTATAATTTACCTACAGAGGAGAAGAGAAATAGCACTTCGAAGAGAAAATTTAAGGCTTTTACAAAGTTTACAGAAAGCCAGAGCAAACAGACAGCAACAAACAGGGCTTTTTCGAAGTCTGCAAGATGTTACAACAGACAGACAGCAAGAAGAAAACATAACTTCACTATGCCCATCATCACCACCGTACGAACAACGAAAGCCTTTGTTTATCAGTAAAGAAGATTTGGGGATCTTGACCGCTATTTTAGCAGATATCACCAATACTCTTAATACCTTCAAACAGGAAAAGATTAACGACTTTTGTCATATCCGAGGAGGGCTAGCCAAAATAGAGGTCAAATTGACTGAAATAGAAGAGGGGATAAATGCCGATTACAACCAGGAAAGAAAGGAAAAAGATCTCAAGAAGAAAACAAGGGAGACTGACCCCTGCTATATCTGTAAGGAGCTAGGCCATTTGGCGCCAGAGTGCCCCAGAAAACAGCAGGACCTGTGCTATCGATGTGGAGAAATAGGGCACTGGGCCAATGAATGTTCACAAACAAGAGGATAAGGAAGAATATAAACAGGGTGAGCATCACTACCTTAAAAATTTGAAACCGAAGAAGAGAAGAACCATCCTATAGTAAACCATCTGATGAGCCAACCAAAAAGAAGGGCATGCAATGAATACAGAGAAAAGTGATAGACATTTTAATTTTTTTTTCTTATTATGTGTTGTTCTACTGTTATTGAAAAATTGTTTGTATACTCATTAATAAATGCAGAAAAAAAAACTGACTTCATGTTTTATTCTTTTTCTTTAAACTTATTTGATGGTTCAGCTGTTTGAGAGAAAGAGAGTCTAATGGGATGTAAATCACTGCCAAAATGTAAAAATGACGTCAAAAATCTGGCTTGACTGTGATTTGAATCGATGCCAAGTTTTTGACGTCACAATGCACACCGTGCGTTGGTAAAATAACTGAGTCAGCTGTTTTGTATAGGTAATATATTATTTTGGAGGGTTTTGCCACGATTTTCTGGGTTTTTCTTATTTCACCTTTTACTCCATAGGTTTTAACCCCCCCCCCCTTTTTTGCACACGACATGCTGTGCTGCTTGTTTACGATCTCTTTGAACACGAAACATGCTGCTTGTACAGACTTATTGTTTCGTGTATGTTAATACTAACATGAATTGAGGAAAAGTTACAAAGGTATATCGGTTACGGTAATGTAACATGATTTAAATATTTTTTTACTCCGTTTTTATTTTGAACATATTTTATTGACTACATCAAAAGGATTGGAAACGAGTTCTTAACACTTAATAGTTCCTCTCCTTATATATACATGTAACAATGTCATGAAAAGCGGTAAAATGATATATCAAGTAAGAGAATCTACAATGTACATGTTTACTCGATAAATTTATGAACAGCAGCAAACTGTTGTTAATTTACATCACCACATAATAATAGATTTATATCAATAGTGGCCAATATAAGCATGAGGTATCCATTGAAAAGATTACTTCTTGCATTAGAATACTTTTTGCATGCAACAAGCATGTAGTAGCCCCCCCCCCCCTTTTCCGAAACATAAACTTTTATTATTTAAAATGTCCATTGAAAGGCTGGTTGCCCCCCCCCCCCCACACACACACACTTTTAGTTGTAGCATTGTTAAATCACTATAAACTGGTAAAGTGGTTGCGAAAAGAAGTTGGAATCTACCCCCTTCCCCCCTTACAAGCAGGCGTGAGTGTTCAAATCCCCTCCCTTGTTTTTTATGGCTTGTGAAAGTTTTTTTCAGGCAAGTTGTTTTTTTTTTCTAATTTCATATCATGCTAATAAGCAGTGGTATCTAATGCTAGACTAAAGGAAATTCGATTTCTCTAAAAATGAATTCATTTCTTTCTTTTATGGGGTAAAAATGTCAACTTTTTACAAGACCTTTTCTAAGACTTCAAAGAACCTTGAATCACATTAAGATGCATAAAATGAAAATTGTTGCACGAAAAGATCTCAATTTCAAGCTTCATTTTGAGACTTTTTAAATAAAATAATAAATTTAAGTTATCCTTCCTGGCTGAGGATCGGATACCCTTAAACGGCACTAATCTGTATTTTTAAACAACCAAGTGTATAGAAATACAGAATTTTGGAGTATGTTTGAGTTCGCCTCAGAAATGGATCCAATTTTTGTTTTCAAGCTTTCTAACAAATAGAATTCAACAATTACCTGGTTCTAGTTATTGTTTCAAAGTCTGTTAAAACTTAAAAGTATACGCTTTTCAATATACCGGTAAGAGACTACTAGTTGCATGCGTACGTTACAACAGCAGTCTGATTTACCTTTTGGTAATGTAAGACTTGGTGCGTCCATTGCCCAAGCATAAATGATCTGCGATCCGCTCCCACACACCCCACCTGAGGCATATTCTGAAGTGGTGTGGGCCATTTCTCCACAATTCCTGTAGAAAAGAAAATACGAACTTGAAAAACATGTGGGTATATTTACATTTTCTGACATTTATCAAAGACCTCAATGACATGTAAATATTACTGCTTTATATCTTGTGTTCGATATGACAGTTCCTCGGTATCATATGGACCTTACTGCACTGAGGACCTTAATCTCTCACTCCTACCCACCCCGTCCGCCCTTTCCCATAAAAGGAACAACTCTCTACTGTGGAAGATGTATACAAATTCGATAATATGTATATTGTACTAATCTAAACCCTTCATTTATCAGACAAGGGTGTTTAATTAGACCTAATGGTGGTTTACATCTTTTTCCTTGATATTTTTTAAAAAAATAATTTTCGCAGTCTGATTAAAACCAGCCCCCCCCCCCTCTCCTTTCGTCGTCACGACGATAGGAGAAGGGGCTGGTTTTAATCAGACTGTAATTTCCGTACAGAAAAGGGTTCTCGACCCCCCCCCCTTCCCAACTTGTAGAACTCTTTCAAAATACATGTACATGCACATGAAAGTACAATTCTCAAAATATAAAGTATTTATGACTAATTAAGTCTAAAAATATTGTAATTAAGACAATGATAGACAATTTAAGAGTCCTACCAGACGCTTTCTCTACTCCCTGGAGTACCACAGCCGTAGATTAGAATGTGGTGGGCTATGTCTTTATTGGCATCTGGTTGAAATCCAACTGTAAGGGAAATTCATAGGTTATTGTCATTTTGTAACCAGTTTCATGTAAACAGACTCGGTAGACATTGGCATGGAACTTTTTTTGTTCGAATTACAGAGTTTTTAGGTTTCATTATATGTCTCGAACTTACCAATATATGTGGGATTGGGTTGGCTTGTTTTCATTGCGTGACAAAGGTACGTGTCTTTCTGAAAGTAAAATAAACGGAGAATCTAGCTGTTTAACATGTACCCAACAACGAAAGTTATTTCATAATTTGACGTGAAAGAAATTTATTTTCTGTGCATCTGATGAAATGTATATTCTTACCACTTTAGGTGCTACTTGTGGCATTTTGAGGGGGAGTTTGGAGGTGTCCCTTCTCTGGGGAGCACCACTGACAGCTATTAAGAGTGTCCCACACAACATTATTTTGATTACGGCCATAGTGGCCATTGGTCCCTAAAAACAATTTTGTTGCCATTGTAAAATTCGTTAATGAACATATAGAAAAAAAAATATTTTAAAATTAACATGTTGATGACAATACACTGATGAGGTTTATCAGTTGTCAGTAAAAACACAAACATACATGGACACGTTTTTGACATAAACATGATAAATAGAACCATATGCATGTCATTTATTTGCACACAAGTTTTCAGTAACACATGTTCATACGGATCGAAACATGTTTTTCCTTTATTAATTATTGTTTTATGATTATAACTCTCTCGATTTCCGTTAAAATATTTGAAGTAGTAGATACACCTGTAATCAGGTGTTCCAGGTAAACAAAAAACATAGCGATTACATTATCATTGATTGAAGTTAAAACGACAATTTTGTAGCAAGGCAACTGACATATGTTGTGTCATGGCCTATTTCTGTTCAACTCTACATTTACTTATCCCTATATCTACATGACATTAGAAGATGCCATTGTTTCTAATATTCTGTTAGAGAAGTATATTTGCTACATGTAAACGAAAAGGAGTCTTACCTTCTTATCTTAGTCCTTACGTGTGTAATCCTTAGTTTTATCTAATAATAGATATAGCCCAGGGCTAAATTTGTAACATACACTGCAGGAAGGGGCTAATATGTTAATAAAAGACACAAGATCGGCTTTTTCCTGTTGTACATAAACGTTACAATAGAAAAATAAAAATTATAATAAAAATGACGTACCAGTGTTTCTATAGTAACAATTCCTCTGTCCCTCTCCTACGCAATGTTCTTTAATATTTAGAATATGCACTGCTTTCACTAGAATATCGATATTTTGGTCTTGTTTTGGATGCTAAAGCGCCCTCTAGAATCGCAGAATATCAGAAATCGATTTCTAGTACATGTATAAGGCAAGTAACAGATGCGTCACCACTCCAGATAACGAGATACCATGAGACAAATATATGTTGACCAGCACGTACAGATGAGAGAAGGAAGTCCGTACTTGATTTTCAGTCAAAACGAAACCCCTGATGCTTGCATAGGATGTAGCATGCCTCGATCGTTCCGATTAAATGCAGTGAAAGTGAATAAATAATTTATTTGTTTTAGCTCACCAGAAGCAGTGAAAAGATCAGCGGTTGATTTTCACAGGGACCTATAGGTTCCTGATTTTCACTGTTCCTCCTCCCCTGGCATTTTTTTTTTTTTACTTCTCTAGACAACGTCATCTATTTTCATTCATGCTTATTGCAAGGCATCCCAAGCATGTAGCATCCTTCATCAAAGTAGAGGGCCAGTCCGAAAAAAATTTGACAAGATACATGAAAAAAATCTTCGTAAGCAAAATTTAAGAAAAAAAAAGGAAAATTGCCACCCCCCATTTTCGGGGGGGGGGGATCCAACTTCAGACAAGAAAAAAAAATTACTAGAATTACATGCGAACAAAAAAGTGGAGGTGGACATGATGGGAGGCAGTCTGTAAACGAAATTTTCCATTCTAAATTAACAGAAAAGGAGGACCCCCAAAATATGTGCCTGCATCCTTGGGCACAATCGATGCAATTCTACTCTAATGAAAGTCTGCCGCATCTTCCTGTTTCAAGTTGGGAAATAGAGAAAATATAAGGTAGTTTCTTTTTAAGCTGATGAAAAGCTATTATACTATATCTAACTTGATTTCAAGCTTCCTCAGCTAAGGCGTTTCATATTTTCTTTCGTTACAGAGCATTCAATTTGACGGAATACCACTCCATACGAAAGCCTATCAATTAAATGTAGTATCAAGTAAAATTAATAAGGACGCCCCATTCTCTTGTAATTTCTATGTAATTATCTCGTTATTACGAGAAAAGATCTCGTAAGTACGAGAACATATCTCGTTATTACAGAAAAAATCTCGTAATAACTAGAAGTGGAGGAATCGTTCTCAACCTTCTTTCAATGCAAAAATTTGCCAGACCTAGACCATAATGCAACAAAAACGGGGGGGGGGGGGGGGGGGACTAAAAGGGAATTTTCATATTTTAAAAAAACTATACAGCAAGACTAATTCTCCAAAACCGTGAATGAGCATCTTCGCAAGCCAAGGGTTTTCGGTCCGCTCCGCTCCCCACAAACAGGGTTTGTGGGGAGCGGAGCGGACCGAAAACCCTTGGCTTGCGAAGATGGTGAATGAGAGGAGGGGGTTCCCCTCATACTACAGGCCTGTTTAAGGCGAAGTAAACCTGTGGACTTGACACACAAAGTTTTATACCCCCATGTTTCTAACTATTACAAAAACCTTCAACTAATAGGTAAATTTCATTAAAACAATTCGTAAGTTTTCCAGTTTGATGAAAAACTGCGCTATTTGCATAGTAGTCTTGGAAACAAACATGTATGACTAAAAACAACTCACACAGCCTTTCAATATAGAGATGTTTATATTTCTACACTTGGTATACATTTGTTTTCTAATCAATTTTAATCAGTTTATGAATTAAGTGCAACAGAATGGATACCATTTTGTATTTACGTACTTTTACAGGTACGGTATATTGATTATACTTCATCAAAGGCAAACTTTGTTTCACATTACTGATCCAAATATTGATTACACAGTAAATATAAAATTTGAGAAATTTATCCATTATACCTGCTCTCTCCATAAAGTCAATAAAACAAAAATTGATGCAATAGTAACATGTGAAAAAGCTGAGTATAAGTACATGTATGGACTAATATAAGTCAATGTTCTTTTATAGTACATGTAATTATTTGTCTTGTAAGAAAGTGTAACATGTATGTTTACTTGCATAGCCATGCTGGTGGGAACCTTAATGATTTCTGGAACACTTTGTCTCAAACAACTCTTATGTTTACAATTAAACAATACATGTACTTGAATGCAAAATATTTCTGAGAATTTCATCATCATCATGCACATACCTAATGATATATTAAAAAAAAAATACATGAACAATGGCAATTATACAGCAATTATTTTAATCAAGTCTTTTAAATTCAACGTTTGGTTTAACATTCATACAATCACAATATATACATGTACACAGAGCTACTAGTACATTTAATTTGAAAAAAAGGGGAAATACTACTGTCAGTGCCCTTGCTTGTACTAAAGTTTGGCAGAGAATCTGTTATGCTGATCTTCTATGTACAATAAAAAGATGAGATGTCTTGGCCAAAAATTAATTTAACAAATAAAGTGGTAATTTTCAAATAACTTCTTTTATTCATAATCTTTGAAATGATTTTAGGTATGGAATTCTGGCCAACTTTTACAGAGATATGCTACATATAATTTCCAGCAATGCTGGAATGGTAACAAGATAATTTTGATAATAATTTAAATGTATATTATAATAGGTAAAACCAATTGTTAACAGCTGTCTAAGGTTTTTGCCTTTTGAAGTATTATCAATGAACTAGTTTCAAAATTCAAGTCCCCACCAAACCATTATCAGATAAGCTCAATTATTACATATATATTCACGTACTATACTGTTATATATAATACTTAACCATATGCACCATTCTTAGAATAATATTTACACATAATAAGATGTACATTATATACATGTAGTCTTTGCAGATTGAAAATAAATCATGGGGGAAAAATCAGCAGAGTATTTTTATAGTAAGTTTAACATAATTACACCATATATGAATGCTTATTTTGAATGATACTGTTTGTGTAGTACTTTAAGCTGGAATCATGTCTCAGTGATTCAGCTTCACTAAATTTTAAAATACATATACACATACAAGTACATTAATATCTGCCTTTAAAATTCCAGTTTTACTTCTGCAACCAAGGAATATTTCGTACACTTTTTGACATTCATACTGTACTCCACTATGTAAACAGCCATCTTCCTCTACATGTACAAACTCACACCAATCAGTCTACATACTTTTATCACTACAAGATTTTCTAATCAATTATTATTTTTTTTTTTTACAATACATGCACCTCCACATTTAAAAGAGTTCTTCTCAATATGACCTTTGACCCTGCCACTTTTTCTTCTTTATGTATTGGTTTTGCTTCTATTGTTAATTTCAAAACTTTGGGTTTCCTTACTTTCCTTCTAAACTGTAGGGAACTGACACCCTGTTTTTTACGAACAATAAATATTTTCTTTTGATTTCCTCGTAGGATGTGATACTTGACATTATTTTTAAGTGCTGTTAATGATGGAAGAACTGCAAGCAGTTTTTTCTTTCTTTGTATATCTTTCCTTTCTATGTATAGTTTCAAAACTTCCGTCACAATATCTGGACGTAGTTTTCTTGCATGATGACTCTGAAGTGATTTTGAATTTGAGTCCACTGTAACAGTCTGAAAAATATTACATTACCAGCATTTTAAAGAACAAGGTACGGTTTCAATACAAATTTTGCCCTGTGTTTTTCTTAAAAATGAAAGTAATGTAAAAAATTAAGACTCATGATTTCTGAATCAGTGAAATTACACGCAGAAAGATCATACAAATCATTTTTCTCACATGACCTTCTAAATGCTAATTGTGACGTCATAAACTTGTGCATTTTCCCGTATTTTCTTGAAAAGCTGCAGAAGACACCAATTTTCAATTGAATTTTCTCTCAGATGATATTGTCCACAGGCATCGCCCACAAAGATTTTGAGATATGTGATTTTTCAAAGAATTTTACACAACATATCCAAAAATAAACGTGGGCGACGGCTGTGGACACTATTTTCTTAAGGAAAATAACCCTTGAAATGGGTCATTTTGAGGCTTTTTCTGTTTAAAATAGAGAAATGCATCAAATTAATGACGTCATATTTCCAGAATGGTACTCTTTCATGCTATATTTTTTCCTGATTTATCAATGTCATATACTCAACAAATGTTTAAGCCAGTTTCAAAACTTTTTGAAAGTATTAAATTTTTAGGGCACAATAAAGCTAAAACCGTACCTTCTTCTTTGATATACATGTAAATCTCAAGAACTTACACAAGACTCATTTAGTTTGCTAGTTCTTATCACAATTATTTATGCCATATGTTGACCAAAAGAAATGGAAATCAATTTTAAAACATATATATGCAAATATTTTTTTTTCTCATACCTACCTTATTATGGACATCTCGTTTAACTCTCTTGGACAAAGGAATGTCTTGGGTTTTGATATCACACTCAATGCAGCCCTCCCCTTGGGGTGGTCTGCCATCACCTGGGGCAGGGACATGGGGTATATTTCCTCCTGTAGGAAATGAACCTCCCACACCACCATCTGGAGAGATGGCCACACAATGTCTGAAATCAGAATAACCGTCCAACATAATGAATATGGTGAGGGCAAATCATACAAAAAAACTCACTTGGTGTAAATTTAAATTTATTGCTCCATTATGCTCAATTGAGCCTTTTTTCACATGTATTACCCCACTCCCAAACTCTGATAGCCTGGTGGACAGCCACAGACAAAGGAGGAACCAGTCGAAGAACAGTCATATAAACAGGGGGCATTCACACAAATATTGACATCTAGAACAAAAACATATCTCTATATTTTTGGGAATAAAGTACAAGTATAAAGATGTGGCACAGAAATCATTATTATTTCCCTAGGGTCAAAATTTGTCCTCACCAACACTGATAATTACAGTCAAACCTCCTTATCTCGAACTCAATTGGACCGAGGAAAAACTTTTGAGATATCCGATGATTCGAGATATCCAGGGTAAAATACTTGAAGAATAAGGGGTTGGGACTTCCAAATCACTTCAACATATCCATGGTATTCGAGATATCAGTGCTCAAGAAAACGAAGTTCAACTGTACATGAATTTACCTGTGCTAGCTGGTCATAAAATATGGATTACGGTAAATTTTGTCCCTGACCTACAGATGCAAGACCTTACCTTACAGGTCATTTAATGAGTCAAAGTTTGTCCCTAACCTAGACTGACAGTTGTATATGTATGATCTTACCTACATAAGTCATTAGACAAAGGACAAAGTTTGTTAACAGCTCACACTGACAATTGCATGACTTCACCTTTACAGGTCATAAAATATGGGTTACATTTTGTCCCTGACCCACACTGCCAGATGTATGAATTTACCTTACAGTTCATTACATGGGTTAAAGTTTATCCCTGACCCAGATAATGACAGTTTCATATGGATGACCCTACCTATACAAGTCATAAGACGAGGGTCAAAGTTTGTCCCTGGTCCACACTGACAGTTGTATGATCCAGGCACATTTGAGCAGACTGCCAAGCCACATATATCCTGTATCTGACACTCATTATTATCTGTAATAAAAAGATAAAAATCACTGGTCTGAGCTTTAAGAAAGATGTAAAGAGCAGGATAACATTGTGATAATGTTCTTTACCTATACACTGTCCATAGACTGGTTTGTACCCTGGAGGACAGATACATTTAAAGGAGCCTGGGACATTCTCACATCTATCATCACATCGACCAGTCTCACATTCGTCAATATCTACAAGATATTGTACATCAGAACTACAGAATAAGGACAATTTTGAACTATCAATCAAAAATCCTTAATCTTTGGACTACAAAAGCACAGAGGAGTTATTTGCAGTAAAATTATGATGACCCTAAAATGATGAATCAGAAAGTATATCTGATCCAAATGTCTACTGTATTCCTAAAAAGTAATTTTTCAAATTAAGCCGATATCCAGATAAAAATATATTAGCCTAATGCATCCAGAATTTCTTCAAATCAGATGTGACATTACCGATACATTTTTTGCCTGTTGAGTCCAGTCTGTAGCCTCTTTTACAGATACATTTATATCCACCCAAGGTGTTACGGCAAGTTCCTCCTGGCGTACACAGTGAGGAGTCTTCCCTACACTCATTAATGTCTAAAAATAACAGAGAAATTCTTGAGTGATTCTACTATTTCTGAGCAAACGCTCTTCTTTTAAAGTTGAGAGGTAATAATATGCCAAAGATTATGTAAATACAGTAAAACTTGTTTAGTACGAACACGGATATAATGAATTCACGGATATAGCGAATTTTTCTTTGATCCCCAGCTATATAAATTTAACGAATTTCTTATACAGATATAGGGAATTGCGGATATAGCAAAGTAATTTCACAGGTCCCAGTGACTTCGTTATAACCGAGTTTTACTGTATAAGAATGACACACTATGACATCAGACCTCTACACTGGTTGGCCTCCATTCTGTAGCCTGTCTGACAGCTACACCGATAACTTCCCTGGGTGTTGGTACAAATCTGCTGACAATTGTGCTTCATTGTGGCACACTCATCCAAATCTACCAAAAGAATTGCAAAGAATTTTACACTCATTCAATTCTCACAATAGAAATGAAGAGAATCTATCTCTCAGATGCCACTAGATAACACAAGAAAAAGCTGTTTGTCATGTGACAATGTATAATTACTAGTATTCAATGTATTTTACATGGTATTCTTTGACTTGCAAGTGAAATGAAGACAACATTTTGCAGGATGGGGAAAATAGTTAAACTGCAAAAAAGTTTACAAATTGAAGCACCTCTGCATGTTTTGCCATTTCTGTTAAGGACAAAGCCAGTGGGACATGAACATCTATAACTTCCTACTGTGTTCACACAGCCAGACTCGCAAGGGGATGTACCCTCTCTGCACTCATCCACATCTGAAAATAATACACGATTCTTTGTAAAATGACATTCAATGATTATTTGATGCAATAAATACAGCCATACTGCCAAGCAACATGAAAGACTCATATGTAAAATGCATGTTTTTTGATATACTGTATATATTTCTGCCACGTGTAATCTTTGCCCTTTCATACTTCTAAACAATTCTGTCCCATTTTAAATTCGCCCAGATAAAGTTGTGTTATTAACTTATTATGCTGTTTTCTTTGAATTCGCCCAATTTTAAATTTGCCTATTTGCAATGGGGGCGTAAGAGGGTGAAAATAAAATGGGATGAAAATGTCCCTGTTTCTCTGTATACAGTAGTTACATGTACATAATAACTACCATATTCTATGTTGAAATTTTAAAAAAAAATCAATGTTTTTTCCCCAATGTTTTGAATTACTAAAGAGTGAAAAAAATTCTACACCATACAACTAACCGACACATTTTGTATTTGTGATATCTGTTTTGTAGCCTCGGTTACATCGACATCTGTAGGATCCTTCAGTGTTAATACAGTATCCATTCCCACAAATTCCAGGAAACTTCAGACATTCATTTATATCTAAAAACAAAACACCCAATTTTACACACATGCAGCATAACTAATGTAGTCAAAATCAATTTGGTTGCATGCATATTTTGAGATGATGAAGAAAGAAAGCATTGAGGCCCATGTGCTACAACTCACTAAATGTTGCTTTCATAAATGCATATTTCAAGATAATGAAGAAAGCAATAAGGGTCAAGGACAACAGTACTCACACAAGTCTAATTGTGGCCCCTGAGATGACAATTTTCCTATATATTTCCAGGTATAATTTTGACCCCCTTCGTGGCCCCACCCTAACCCCTGGGGCCATGATTAAAACAAACTTGAATCTACACTTGTTATGAAAGCTTTCATAGTTTTGTCTTTTGTGGTCCAGTGGTTCTGCAGGAGGAGATTTTAAATAACCCCAAACATGTAATTACTTCTCTTGAAAAAGACTGTGAGCTTACACTTGAACATTTTCCAAAGGATGCTTAGTGGCAAGTTTTGTTCAAATAGGTCTAATGGTTAAATTTTTAAGAAGTCAAATATATAAAAAAAAAATTAAGAACAGACAAAGGACAAACTTTGATCAGAAAATCTCACTAGTCTGGAGCTATCAGCTAAAGTGAGCTAAAAACTATTTCCAACCTTTTCCATCTGGTGTTCTGCCAATATCTTCTGGACACAACTCCTGGAAGTCTCCTAAAACAACAATTCGAGAAAAAAGACATTAATAATGGTATCTTATTTCATGAACATCATACACACTATATATATATATTTATTATACCTCTACTGTTATTACTCTATATAAAATTAATACCATAAAACTGTCTATTTCCCTGAGAAGATACTATTTCCCTCATCTGAGGACTACTCCCTGAAAAATCAGAGCTACTCCCTGGGACTACTCCCTCATGAATATTTATTAATAATTTTAACCAATTAAAATGAACAGTGGGCGGAGCGTTCAAGGAATCTCGAGTCTGTGACGTAATGTTATTAGCAATGTAACTATGACGTCAAAACATTTCGACATGCGATGTCAAAATCATACTGGAAATTCTAGCAAAATGAAGACAACCATAATCCTTCGGAGTGTCAGTGAAAGTATTATATATTTTTTAATAATTTTATTTTCCTCGGTATTGATGCATCTTACATTATGCATTTGTGGTTATTTAAATGCCTCTATATTGTTTTAAAAATGTCTGAGTCACTAGTTTAATAAATCTCTCATGACTGTTTCGGTATAATAAAACATTTATGGAATGGGTACTTGGGAAATCAAATTTATGGTTCCCCTCGGCAGGAAACTATTTCCCAAGGCGGCAAAGCCGCCTCGGGAAATAGTTTCCTCCCTCGGGGAACCATAAATTTGCTATTTCCCTCATACTCATTCCATAACTGTATAATAGCAGGAATCTTTTACAGTATTTAAATCATTTTTTTTTTTTTTATTTCACTACTCCTTTGTCAATAAGTACAGTGAATCAGTACTCAGTACTTTCCACAGTGTGTGATAGATCAGAACTTACTTGATCCCCTGGAAGGACACCTGGAGCAGCTTGGACCCCAGGCTGCAGCCCCTGAGCAGCAACACTCCTGTCTGGTCATTCTGTAGAATCTAGAGGGAACACATCTCCCACCCAGTAACTCCAGGAAACAGTTACCTTCTCTCTGGTCTGAAATAATGTTTTCAAGGATTGTGTCCAATTTTGAATGACCTTTTAAGATATCAATTTAAGACAGTCCTTAGTCTTCCTGTAAAATTCTCTGTAACTATTCTTACCATAGCACTGTTTTCTGTCTGGACTGAGGGTATAGCCAGGAGGACATCTGCATTGGTATCCTCCTTGTAGATTGACACATCTACCTGGCTGACAAACTCTAGGGTCACGGCACTCATTTATATCTACAATGTATATATAAACTATCTTTACAATATCAAATCAAGGGTCAACAGCTAAAGCTGATGAGTTTTATGAGACACATTACCTCTACAGTTATCCCCTGTACCAGTAAAGCCTTCCGGACAAACACACATGAACGTCCCCACCAGGTTCTTGCAGGCGTACCGACACTTGTTGACCTGTGTTTGACACTCGTCCACGTCTATAAAAGTCATTCACTGTTTTCTTATAAAAGATATCTTCATTATACATGTATATATCAACTTTAAAAGACTACTTAAGGTTCAATGATACTCTGATAAGAGAGATAACTCTAACTTGTATAAATGACTATTATTCCTTTACAAAATTGTCAAGTTAATAGACTATTTCTGTTAAATTTGGCCCCACAAGGTATGCTGAAAGTGTGTGCATTTTAATTATAAATTAGATTTCTCTTGGATAATCATAAGCTTTTATATGGAAAGATTTTTTATGAGTGAGCAGAGGGATGATGATCCTTATACCCTAAGTGGACTGCTTTACCTTGACAGTGTGAGTTATCTGGGGCCAGAGTGAAGCCTTTGGGACACACGCACTGGAATGTTCCAGGAAGATTGACACAGCGGAAAGCACATTTGTTGAGGGGGCCACTACACTCATCAATATCTGTATGACAAGATATTTATTTGCAATTGCTATTTTCAATAACAATCTTCTAAGAAACAATAATTTTTCTCAGTTCATACCTTGACAGGAACCATCTGCTCCAGGTTCAAATCCAGAACTACATAAACATTCAAATCCTCCAATTCTGTTACGGCATGTTCCATTGCCACAGATGCCTGGACTATCAATGCATTCATTTTTATCTGTAAAATTTTAACCAAAATATCAACAAGAGGTTCATGGGCACTGGTAGTTACCTGGACATCATGCAATTCTCAGGCTACGGCCAACTGGATCTCACCTTGAACTCAGGATTCAATCATGCAACATTAATTTTACAATTTGGTGAGGACTCTGATCAATATCATAATCAAGCAGCTTGTCCCCTAGAAGCTTAGGAATCGGTAAGAATTTTAAAGAAAAAAATATATTTTAAATATATGAGAATTTAGCTCCACCATGGCCCAAGGGCCCCAAGGACACAGATTTGGTTAGGACCCATTGCTTACTACCATTATGTATATAGTTTGCCTGACAAATGATCAGGGATAAAAAAAAAATTCATAGGGACTTGATATGATCAATTTTCAAAATATACTCTGGGACTTGAATCCTGGATCCAGGGGACATGAATTTCATAATTTTAGTAGAGAGCTAGCTGCCGATTATATAAGCATTTCAATAATCTGCCTGACAGATCTCAAATTTTCAATATGTGACCAACTTATCCTCATCCTGCAGACAAGGGAACATAAATTTCACTTTTCTGGAACAGGGCAAACTGTTCATCACTGTTCTGGAACAGGGAAAATTGTTCATTGAAATATAATTGAAAAAGCTTAGAAATCTTGTCGATGAAATCTTGACATTGATCTTCAAATAAGTGAACCAAAATCTAAAAATATCTTCCTCATTTCCATCCCTCCCCCCCAAAATGTCCAATCAAAATATGTATACGGAAATATAAACACAATCTGTCATTTGGCATGGACCTAACAGAAACAAATAATGTAATTACTTTCAGGCACATGCAATTTGCTGCATGGCATTGCAGAAAATATTTCCTTTCTGTAAAAATACAGTTGTTAACTGAACAATTTGGTAAGAAAGTCTTGAATCTAAGCATCTTACCTTCACAAGTTTTTTGATCCGCTCCTAGTTTATACCCAGGAAGACATTCACATCTGTAGGATCCATCTGTGTTAACACACTTTCCATTTACACACAAACTTGCATCTCTAGCACACTCATTCACATCTAAAGAAAAAAGTTTACACCAAATTTATGACAAAATGTTCAAATATACACTGTACATGTACACTCTGTAACGTTACTGAAGACTTCTTCAAGTACACAAGTTATAGCTCCTCCATGTATACATTTTATCCTGTGTATTTATGAGGGACAGAAACAAGTCTGAAGAGCAAAAAGAGTCTTGGTCCTTGTAAGATTTCTGTTCAAAAACTTATTTATAAGTCATTGATTACTGTAAATTCTGCCCCATCTAGTTATGGAGATTAATTGACATACTTTAAACAAAAGCACGGTAAATCTTAACATACTTTGTGTGAATTTATCTTACCTAGCCAACAGCAAGTTTCAAACTATATGTACTCATGTTCAAAAGACATAATTTCCATTCATCCTACATTACATTCCATCAGTTAAACTTTTGTTTCATGTACTTTAATACTGTTTAAAATTAAACATTGGTGTTTATTTCTTACCAACAATGCCTCCAGAAGGATCTACAACTCTTCCATAACCATCTGGACAGAGAATCTTAAAGGCAGCTGGAAGTAAAAAAAGTAGTGGTGTACTATCCGTTTGTATGTCTATATGATTCTTTTTCTTTAGCAGCTATGAATCTTTAGTTTCTACTTGACCTACGTTCCCGCTCGGTAGGACAGACAGCACATTGGCTCTGACTCCCCCAGGCCTGGCCAAGAGTACAACAACAGTCGGCCTTCGTCATGTTGATTTGGCGAGGGAAACGACACTGGCCATTCCTAAATATGTTGAAACAGTTCCCCATCCTCACATCTGTAATAATTTTAATGCTTTAATATAACTGTAATCAAAATCATTTCTGGAAGTTCAAACATATCCTGATACAGTCTATAATATTGCTATTGACCAATGCATCTTTGTCCATCTGCAGTTAGGAGTAAGCCTGGTGGACACACACATCTAAATCCTCCCTCCAGATTTCTACACCGACCACCAGCACAAATACCACGCACTGTCGTACACTCATTGATATCTACAATGTTAATTTTGTCAAGAGATGAGTGCCCATTAGTACCAAGACACAGAGAGTGAAACTCTAACAAGTTACTATCTCAAAAAATACATGATCTTACCCATGCATGTGTCCCTTGCTCTGGTGAGTTCATATCCCTCGTGACAGATACATTCATAGGAGCCCTCTCTATTCCTACACACCCCATTACCACAGATATCCCTGAAAAGGGTGCACTCATCAACATCTGAAATAAATGTGGCCATCTCTTGATCCTATAAATCAACAATGCAACACTCCTTTATCTATTATTTTTTTTAAGTGGATTTGAAATAAACTTTCACTAATATGAATGAGCAAGTGGGCCTTGTGTTCAGCAAGTCCACAGAGCATTTCAATAGTCTGCCAATACAATGAAATAAATAAAATAAAATTGCATCATTCACATCCAAATTTATCCTTGTGTTTCTGGACTTCAATTGCTTAGGATAATGAATTACAATGTTTATAACAAATCAAAACTGTTTATCCCTGGCACTTTGCAATAAGCATGTTTTACTGTATAGTGAACATTCAGCTCTTTACCAATTTTTCACCAGTTTTATAGTCTTTGCTTTGAAGATATATAATAAACAAGCTTAGGACATTTACCTGGAAGATAAGCTAATATCTTCAGTTTAGAACATTGCCTGGAAGATGACCTAACATAACACATATTCAATATTTTATAACTCACCAGTTAGTACCATGCTTAGTGTACAATCGCAAACTAGATATCATTGAGATGGTCGCCATCTCAAAGTGCCCCGCTTTCAGCAATGAACATGAAAATGTAAGGTAGCTGAAAAGGGTTTATTTTGAAGAGGAACATTTGTGTACTATTAAGGGATGTGTTGTTTGAGTCTAAAGGGCTTCTATTTCATCCTTGTTATAATAAAAAATGGCACGAAAATCATGAGTGCTCCATACCTTCTATCAAAAAACGGCACAAAAATCACGAAAGTTGCATATCCTCTATGAAAATTTTTGCATATCCTCTATCAAAATATGGAAGGAAAATCACAAATGTTCCGTACCCAAAGTCAATTGGTAAAGTTTAAGGCTGACTGGGCTTAAGGGAAAGAAATTATGCACCGAACAAAGATTTTAAACAGAGGCTATTTTGACCTTGACCTATAAACTTTGTTCAAGGTCACTGCACATCCATTGACCAGTGGCACTCTGTGAGTGAAATACGAGCCACACTGGACAAAGGGGAGAGAAGATATGCTCCGGACAAGGATTTTTCATATAATTCTGCTATGACCTTAACCTTAGACCTTGAAACATGGTTCAAGATCACTTTACCCAAAGACACTCTGTGGGTGAAGTATGAGCCAGATTGGGCCAAGGAGAGAGAAGATATGCTCCGGACAAGATTTTTCGGATGGACAGATGGACGGAAGGACGGACAGACTGATCACTATAGGGCACCCGCAGAGGGGGGCCCTAATAACTAAGTACAAGATCTGACCTTGACACGAGCGGCCGTCACTGGACACCATGTAACCACTCTGACATTGACATGTAAAGTTCCCCACCAGGTTCACACAGCGACCATTCTGACAAAGACCAACCTCAGTCAAACACTCATTTATATCTACAAAATAAACAGTTATTATCAAAGATTATTAATTGGGAATATCAAGAGATATTTCCAAAATCTCCCTTTCTGTTCATATTTATATATAAATAATCATGCATTGATAAAGATATTATGGTATTCGTATGATTCATTGCAGAAGTGATAAGACATTCTACATAGAGTGAAATACGGAGTTTATCTCATGAAATAATCAGAGACTGAATATAAAGAATAAACTTCCCACTGGAAACATCTAAAACAGGAGGGGGGATGTGATTATATGATCAAACCAGAATATGAACCTGGGCCCTCTGAACAGTTGCTTTACCAACTGAGCCATCTGGCCACCAGTGAACGGATTTGCCTGACAACCATATACCTTTACCATTCTAGGTGCCAGTTATTCATGTTTACATCATGTATAGATAAGTAAGCTTACCTTGACAGTCTTCATTAGGAGACAGAGTAAATCCGGGATGGCAGTGACACCTGTAATGTCCCTCTGTATTCTCACAGGTTCCATTGTTACACAAGCCAGGCCGGGAGCTACACTCATCAATATCTACAATTCACAGAATATTTACAGATTTTAGATGCTATCAAATTCAGTGCTCACAAACTCCTACAGCCCCCTTGCATTACAAAGAGCAGATAGAAGATATGGGCAAGATAAACAGTGTACCTTCATGTTATCAAACGGACTTAGCAGAGAATAAAGCCAGACCTTTTGAATATAGGCAACTTTTGTGAAATGTATAGGACATTCTAAAACTTCTCAATTACAGAGTAGCAGAAAAGTGCATGCACATGTACAAGTAAACTCCCAAACTTTGTGTGCTTCTCAATTAAGTGCACATGTACAAATAAACTAACAAAAGAGTTTGCAAGATGTATATAACAATTACTACAAACATAAAGTTTTTGACAACAAATCAAGCATCACAGTATAATTTTCAGTGACAGAAAGGTGCATGCAGTAAACAAGCTTTACTTTAATTTCAAATACTTACCAAAACATGCATCTCTATTAAGATTCAATCTGTAGCCTGGATTACATATGCAGCGGAACCTGCCCTCTAAATTGGTGCAAACTCCATTGGCACAGATTCCCTGAATTTCTGTACACTCATTGATATCTACAATATAAATTCACATTTTAATTTCTCTGGTATAGCATTATCTTCAATGATGATGCCAACTTTGGTTTTCACTGTGTAAGGGGTATTACCTAGACAGTTATGTCCATTCTGATGAAGCCTATAACCTGAGGGACACTGACATCGGTAACTGCCGGGGGTGTTCACACACTGAGCCACGGGGACACAAGGGGGTAAGCTCCTCCTACACTCATCCTCATCTGTACAAACCCACCAATGCCATCAATTAATGCATTCTTAACTCAGATTTTGAATGATTGTGAAAAAAAAAAATTATCTAAATTCATATACAATTCCTGTAGGAGCTTTATAACTTAATTATCCAAAGTTTCCGACTTGTTATAAGTAATTCTATTGTACCTTAAACATATCTCCCAGAAGAAATCTGTAGAATCTACTTTACACGTGCATAATATATATGGTTATGTGTATTAACTTCATACTCTCCCTTCAATACTGCTATAGATGATGATGAATTACCATAACAACTATGACTTTGAACATCATATCTGTATCCTCTGTTACATTCACAACGGAAACTCTCCTTGGTGTTAATACATCGGCCATTTTTACAGATGGCATCTCCAAACAATGCGCATTCATCAAGATCTACAAATTTAAACCAATTTTAAAACACTTTTAAGAATTATATTATCATTTATTTATTGTACATTTTTGAAATCAAATCAAGTGCTATCAAACATTTGGACATGAGTTTCGTGAGCCACAATGGTCATAACTTGTTTTTAGGGATGGCAACGAATATTCGAACATTCGAATATTCATTCGATGAGTTGATATTTGAATATGAATTTAAGATTCGAATATTAGGTGTTTTTCAGATTTCATAAAAAGAAGTACTGTGATTAATAAATTTTTATTAGAACAGTGCTGGAATTATCCCTATTTAATTTACTAGCGATCAATTTCGATCGCCTGATTCCTTTCACTACTTTCTTATGGATCTACTAAATTATATGTATTTTGTTTTGAGTAAGATGTTAAAGAATTGTACAATAATGCTTTATGTATATTACAAAACGTACTTTCGTAGTTTTTATTAGATGCGATCGGATCTAGAATCGAGGACAACAAAATGAAATCTTAGAATGTTTAAAAGGCGTGAAAAGTATATATACTTATCAAAATAAAATTAATTGATCATTGAATGAATGTCCGATAGAATTAGTCTGTAATTAATATTGTAATGGACTTAATTTTAGATAAATGTGTAAATTACTTGATTATCTCGGGTTGTACATAATCCTGAATTTTACATTCATTATCGGGAAATTAGTTAATTACCTAGAAAAATTGTCTATGGAAATATTTTTGTTTACATTGTATCAAAGATTATAATCTTATCTCTTATTAGGCAGATAATTGTAATTTATTACACGTATTGAAATCTGAACAGTATACCGTTACGACTATCTTGCCTTTTGTAAGACGACTGGTTCCTCAGTTGGAGCTACTATAAATACACGTTTCATTTGTTAAAATTATACTTTTCTACATTGAAATCAATTATTTATTTCAAACATTGGTAAATATCAAATGGAATTTCTTATTGTACACCTACAAAAGTCTTTATACAATTTTACTTCCAATATAAGTATACCTACGCTAAACCTTTCATGAGAGTAGGATGATGCATATTCAAAATAAAACAGATTTTATTTATTTTATCGAATATTCGAATTTATTCGAATACTTTCATTGAATATTCGAATATGAATTATTGACAAAATTGACATCACTACTTGTTTTTTTTCCTTACAGAGATATAAAAGTCAAACACAACACTAACTGCTGCATATACAGAGTGCCAAAAATATTAATTCTGCTTTCCATGAAAATGCTCACATATTCATTTCTCACATTACTATCTGAATAAATTGCATGAAGCAATTATGCAAGATATTTGGTGATTCAAGGTGTACCAAGTTAACAAATACATGTACCAATACATACATATCAGTGAATAGACACTGAATCACTCATAATGAAAACCCTTAAGTTAATGCAATGGGTGTTTCACACTATGTTTGATTAAAATATAAAGTTCTATGTAATTGTTCCTGACAGATAGGATATTATAAGCTTCAAACAGAAAAAAACTCTGGTTCAAACAAGCAAAAGAAATTATTGTGCAAGCATTTACAGAAAGAAAGTTTACCATCTACAACTGCTGATACTTCACACAGGGATTCATAGTCCGCTGAAAAGAAAAATACATATGAATATTAAAACCACATGATGAAATATCTACTGCAGTGAATGAAACAATATTCTGTATACAATGACGTCATACTTGTCCATTTTGTTTTATAAATGTTATATTAAATTTCAATCATGATACAGACAGAAATAAACCCAGCCTACTGGTATTGGACTCTGGGCATGGTTCACAGGGTGAGTTCCAGGCTTTTCCAATCACTGTACAGCAGCACTGTTTGTAGGTCAGATTCCTTGACAGAGGGTTCTCACAGATATACTGACGGGGCCCAGGACCAGTGGTCGTGTAGTAAGTGGGATAACAATTCCCTTTCCTCATGTCTAAAAGTATACCAAAACAAAATAGCTTGCATGACAAAGTGAAAAGTTTTGAAGAGTCCAAACAATTTCAAATATCAAAAAGACACCACTTTCTTGTCATTCAAAATTTCATTTCTTTCCTTTGTTCAATTTGGTTGGGAACACAGGTGCCCCAAAGTCATCCCATCCTAAGTAGATATATATTTTACAACTGCATTTATAAATTTCATAGATTTTTTTTCTTTCAGAATGATTAAGAAATTAGTGAGATGTTAAGCCTTACCCATGCACTCAGTCTCCCCCTTCATGAGGACATAGCCATCAGGACAGACACATCTATAGCTACCCTTGGTGTTCACACAAGAGCCTGCCCCACAAAGAGGACCATTCTCCCTGCATTCATCAATATCTATAAGTAAAAAAGAACCTCTCTCACAATATAAACACACATTACTTGATTTACATATTTATAGTCTACACCTTTGAAATGTTAATTTAACTTATTTACATGTACACTGGTTTAAAAGTTTTTTATGTCCCCTCCTATTACTTACATACTGTGGTTTCATCATTATTCGTGGAACACCAATTTTCGTGGAATTCGTTAAGTCGATCCACGAATTTAAATGTTCATTGAAGTTTGGTGCCTCCACTTTGATTTATGATAAACCTTTAAAAAGCCCATTCCGACTTTCGATAACATGTATTAAATACCCCCTCCCCTTTCCCAACAGATTGACTTTATAAACATATTTTATCATTTTCAGAATATTAAAAAAGAAGTAGAAATACTTACATAATTATCTGGACTTTTTGAGTAAAAATGTTTTAATATTCTGCAGAGATAAGCAAACAACACGTAGATCTGTCACCGCGGTGCATTTTCCAATGAGCGGTATTACCCCCAAAGGATGATAATCAGGCGTAAATGTGATAAATTTGTTTTCTCAAACAATATAAGGGTCCAACCCCCATCATCACCTTCACAATGAAAACAACAAATTATCGTTAAATAAAAATTCTGATAGAAATAATTAATTACAAAATTATACAAATTATCAACACATATTCAATGCTTATTTTATTTTTATCTGTTTGTTTAGCAACATATTTTTAGTTAAACATAAAATAACAGTATGTAAAAAGTCCTGTCATTTCGAAGCCCATCACGGCTTAATTATTTGTCGTCCATTTTGCATGTTTAAGCATGAAGTCGTATATGATGTATTTGTTCAGAGATCTACAAACAAGGGGGTCTGAATGTCTTTGTCAAGTCCAGAAACACGCCGTGCATGTGAAAATAAGTATATAACACCATTTTGTAAATTGAAATACCCGGTACTTATTTGTTGTTACGTTTATTACTATGTTGCCACACTTAATTATCGTCCGTATACACGTGTGCCTAAAAAATAAAATTCAAATTGTCTGGATATTTTGAGATATTTTTTCCCCAAAATTGATTAAATAAAAGACTAGTCTATTTTTTTAATTCATTGTTTTTTTATATTCTGTTTCAATATATTCTGTTCCAATATTTAATTGGCCCATCTAGCTCATTGTGTTACAGCGGAGAAGGTATTTGGAATGCCTCACCCTTTATTGTTACAACATACTGCATTGTAAACACTTGAAGGTTCCGACTTTTGAAAAATTAATTGAGTAAAAATGATAAAATAAAGAGTTTTCACCTGTTAGTATTTATTTTTAAAAAAATATTTACATACTCTCAACATTGTAAATGACATGCTGGCTCCCGCTAAAGCATACGGTGAAAAAAAATATGAAAAGATGACAGACATTTTTTTCTGTTAGGACCATTATTCACGAATTTACGTCTCCTCAAAACTGTGATTTTTACTAAATCCACGAAAACTAATGCCCATGAATATTAATAAAACCACAGTATTGTACTTAAAATAAACAGTAAATATTAAAAGGAAGGGTGTTGATCTATCGTCAAACTAAATTACCTTGCATATATAAATGTCATACCTACACATCTGTAGTTAATCAGTCGGTGGCCCTTGGGACACACACAGAAGAAACTCCCAAATGTATTCTGACATTCTCCTCCATCGCACAATCCGTCTATCTCCCGACACTCGTCTATGTCTGCACATAGAAAAATTCCGATATTATTAACATCAAATATTTTGCTGGAATTCATTCTAATTATCCAAAAAACCTAAAACTTTGTTTTGGCAATATATTTGGCAATAAGACATACAAACCTATTGGTATTCCTGTAACTTCATCAGGTCTCAATCCAGGATCACCAGGGCACAGCAACTGGTACTCACCTATGGGTAGAGCAAATTTACTGCTTAGATCCTTCCAAGATATGTATTTGATTATTTCAAAATTCAAAACTTGACTTTTGAGCACAAATCTGTAATTGCAGGTTACCTGTTCCATTTTGGGGACATGCTTCACAGAGTCCTGATACTTCTCCCCAGCCCTGACCAAAGGAACAGCAGCAGCTGGTCTTATAGACATTCCTACCAATAACATTACTACAAGTCCCCCTGTCTCCTACTTCAAGATAACAAGTCCCACGCCTTTTGTCTGCAAAAATGACCAATACATTGTAACTCATCACTTTCAAAATGTCTGAATACATTACAGTTAAACTTGTTAACATCAACCATCTGGGAATGGTCTATAAATTGAGGACTTAAAATATTTAACTTAAATGCACAACATCCAGCTTGCTTATCCAATGGCAAAAGTTGCAAAAGTTGTTTCAAACTTTTTTTTAACATTTCCATATCTATAATTGAAAAGTGAAAATTGAAAAGTATAATAATCAAAAGTTTGTATGTAAATCAATAGGTAAATGCAACAACTAAATTCCAAAATGGGACAAATAGAATGAAGGTTGCATGCATATGGACAGAAGTTAGTTGTTGTAAAATGTTGACGGCTTGTAAGTTCTTACCTACACATGCTGTCCCTGTTGGGTTCAGTACTGTGCCTATGGGACACTGGCAGATGTAGCTCCCTGGCACATTGATACATGTCCCATACAGACAGTTGTCCACATTCTCACACTCATTTATATCTACAACATGAAACTACACCATCATACTGTTCAAACTGCTGGTTTCAACGTTTAGTAAATTACTTATGACAGAATCTTTACACTTACAGCACAATCAGCTTTGAATTTTTAGACCCAAGAGCACTAACCTGTACAGTTTCCTCCAGTTGCATCCTGTTTAAAGCCTTGGTTACAACGACAACGGAACATCCCCAATGTGTTCTCACATTCTCCATTTATACAAAGGTTACTGAAGTAGCTACATTCATCAATATCTACAGAGATTAGACACAAACATGTATCAAACTTAAGTTTGCCCCCAAAATAACGAATATATATAAACCATCATTGATATACATGTATATTTCAAGTGACTTAGGACAAGTCGTTCATATTTTTTTGTTGTTGTTGTTTTTAAAAAAAGAACTGGAACTAAAATTAGTCACAGCGTACTTAAAGTGTGTTCAAGACAATCCAAGAAATCTGCATGATTTTCTATCCACAGATTGAACAAAAATTGTGATTCTGTGGAATTATCACTTAGTGAGAAAAAAGTATGTTTACAGTATGTTAAATCCATTTCTTAACATATCACCACTACTTATGACATAAGTCTTATGTCAATATCAATACCCACCTCTGCAGTCCTTGCCATCCAATGTTGGGGAGAAGCCCATGTCACACTCACATCGGTAACTCCCAGCTATATTCAGGCAATTTCCATTCTGACAAAGCTCAGGATTCAGCAAACACTCATCCACATCTGAAATTCAGGCCAAATTAAGCCCTGTATTGTATGTAAACCTGTAGGAATACATGTATTACCTTTGCAAAGTAAAACATATAATAGCTATAAACTCCCCCCCCCTCCCCCATTATACAGAAGAAGCAGTGCTGTATTACTGTAATATCACATATTTTCGGGGGTCAAATTTTCATGGTTTGTGAAAACTTATTCAGGGTTGTCCCTAAGAACCGGAGGCTGGGGAAGTAATTCACCAGTTATTTCGGTATTCCCCCTGAACTCTCCATTAGGAGAGGAACCTCAGACCCCGGTCTACTTTTTTTAATGGCCCCTTCTTTTTCAATTCTTAGGGACAACACTGTTATGGTTCTTGGGGATTTGATTTTGTGGTTGATGAAGTGTTGAGTTGTTAAATATTGAAACTAAATTAAAACATTTTGGTGAGGACATGAATTTGTGGGTCTCTTCATACCATGAAAACAACGAAAATTACACCCTGAGAAAATTAATGATTTCACAGTACTTTGACTTCATTTGCTTACTATTTTGACACTGACTAAACATATGTGCCTATAATTACTTTGCCTGAATAAAAATCTTTAATGTTCTTAACTTACCACTACAGCTATAACCATCTCCTTTAAATCCTTCTTCACAAACACACTTGTAGCTTCCTGGTAAATTGATGCAGTCAGCGTCAAGAGAACAGCCTCCATTGTCCCGTGTGCACTCATTACTGTCTAAAATGGACACAACAGTCTTAAACATGCGTCAAATGACTGCATAAAATTTGTCAATAAAGAAAGATGTACACTGACATATGCTTCATGATATAATGCAGAAACATTTTCTAGGTACTGTATATGACATACATGTACTGTCAGATTATGCCAACTCAGGTATTTAAGAAAATCTCCTTCAAAAGATAAAAGGTTCATGTTCATAAAAGCAGATTAAAATAAACTGTGAGACCTCTACATGTGTATCCATCTCCAGAGTAGCCCGGTATACAGTCACACTTGTAGGAGCCCAGGGTGTTGATACATTTGGCATTCTGATCACAGTTAGCTTGGCCAGTGGCACACTCATCATCATCTGATGAAACATTTAGTCCAAAGATTAACAGAAAGCAAATCAAGCAATGCGAAATACACACACATATATATACACACATGTATAATATATACACACAGGATGTGTTGCGCACTCACCTGTGCAAGCTGGATTTCTGGACTCTGGTTTGACAGAGAAGCCTGGTTCACAAATACACTCATATGAGCCATGAATATTGTGACAGGTTCCCTGAAGACATATGTTAGCATTCTCCAAACATTCATTGATATCTACAAAATACCAAAAATAGACAATTATTCCAAAATGCAAAAATCAAAGGTAAAGGCTACAAACAGAGACCCATGTGGGTGAAACACTCAATGAAGGCTCCTAGGTCCTGCCTGAGATTTTTTAAATTTCCTATTACTCCTATGTCATAGTTTGATTCCCTATTGGGGCTGCACCTATTGCCCAAGGGGCAATGAACCTCCACAAACTTGAATCCACACTATATGGGTATGATTATCTGGCAATTATTGCCCAACCTTTCTTCAGACTATTAAAAAAACTTCTCCATGGTATCCCTATACAGTGAATCTCAGTTATAAGACAGTTCTTGGGACCTTGAATTTTGCTTCCTTAAATAACCAAGATCCTTAATATCTGTATGAGGAACATAGTGAAAATTTCCCCAAGGGATTCGTAAAAGATTCCTTATAACAGAGATTTCCTTTTACGCGAGTTCTTAATAACCAAGTTTTACTGTGTAAAATTCTCATTCCTTTTGCAAGCCCATCCTAGCCCCAGGGACCATGACTTGAACAAACTTGAAAAATCACTACACACTACATAGGAATGTCTGTACATCGATATGAAAATTGTTAAGGTGTAAATTTGATACCCAAACACTGCTTTCCATCAGCAGATGAAATCAGACCGCCAACACAAGTGCAGCGGTGTGAGCCAGGCAGATTAATACAGGTGCCTCCACTACAGATGTCCTTTGTCTCCTTACATTCATCTACATCTGAAAATACAATAGATAAAAATGTACACATCACTTATATTTCTTTTCCAAATAAATCACCTTTAGGAAATGCTCTATATGCATGTAGTTTAAGCAGGGTCATTTAACTGTAGAACTATTAGATTTCTCAATACCTTGACATGATCTCTGGTCAGGCATCAGTATGTAGCCAGTATCACATTTACAGGAGAATGAGCCTGGTATATTGAGGCAGAGCGACTGACAACCGCCATTTCCTGTGGCACATTCATCAATGTCTGAAAATCAACATTCAGACATGATACATAAATTTGTTGTTTCCAGATTTCAGGTAAATAAAATTAGTTGATGTCATTTTTGTTTTAGCCAGCTGCAAAAAGAATTACTAACCTTCCTTGCATATATCAAGGGAGAAATTTCTGGACACTTAATTTCATAAAGCAACTTATTATACTTGTAAAAACATCCAAAATGTTGGCAATAAGAATGTGAATACCAGCAGTCTGCCATACCTAGACAGGAGGTATGCTGACGATTGGGGCCGTATCCCTCTAAACAGCGACACTGATATCCTCCCAGATAGTTCTCACAGACCCCATAACTACACAGACTACTGCTGTCACCACACTCATCAATATCTGCCAATAGAGATTCAGATTTATATTAAGAGAGACAGTCAAACAAATTTATTTTAATATTTAATACTGTATACATGTACAGTGGAGCCTGGTTAATCCAAATGCCAATAATCCGGGCACTTCACCTTTTGGACATTTGGAATTTGTGGAGAACTATTTATATTTATATATACCAAGTATGTTCCAGTAATCAAGACACTTAATTAATCTGAACAATTTGCTCGGGAACATAAGTGTCGAGATTTTAACAAGGCTCTACTGTATTTTTGCATGTGTTAAATTCCATTCAAAAAAAAAAAATAAATTCAAAATAAAAGCAACATCTCTTAGTAAAGGAAAATGACCTTGACAGGACTGTCCATCAGGAGAGAGAATGAGTCCCTCAGGACATTCACACAGAAAGGTTCCAGGAAGATTCAGACACTGTCCTCCTTTACAAGGGGCAGGTAATTCTTCACACTCATTGATGTCTACAACAAACATTACATCAAATTACCAATCACAAATTTTAACTCATAAAGCAAGATCAAACATTCTAATGACAAAATTCCATACTTTGTAAAGCTGCTAAAGTATACATGTATTTTTAATGGCAACCACTTCCCTTAAATGGGAGGGGAAAAGTAAGCATTCAAGATAGGATACTGATATTACTATTTCTTTATCAGACAATTTATCCAAAAAAAAAAGACTTACCCATACACATTTGGTCCATCATGACAGGCCTAAATCCTGGGTCACATTGACAACGGAACATTCCTGGTGTGTTGATACAAGTGCCATTGCTACAGATACCAAAGGAGATCTTACACTCATTGATATCTACAATCAGAACCTCCAAAATATACATTCCAACAGCTGAACAGCTGATCAACTTGTGATCACTAAGTATAGAAAAAAACAAGAGACCCAAGGGCCTAGAATCGCTCTTCTGAAAATTGTACAACCTATAATCTCATCTGTTTTAAGCCTCTTGGTAACCTATATATAAGGATAAAGCCTTGAAATTCCAAAAGTAGGTCAGCATGGCAACAATTGACAAAGTTTGATAATTCCAAGCCAATTAGTATCTGAAATATTTAAATTTAGCCATGAAGTTGCAAGAGAAGGTCACAGTGACCTACTTTTTGGTTGATACACTCCGAGGATTCAAGAAATATTCAAATTAAACCATGAAATTGCAAAAGTAGGTCCCAGTGACCTATATTTTGGTTGATACACTCCAAAGACTCAAGATGCATCAACTAACAAAGTTTGATGATTCAAAGCCAATTAGTATTTGAAAAAAGCCATCAAATTCCAAAAGTAGGTCACGGTGACCTACTTTTTTGTTGACACACTTTGAGGACCCAAAATGCATCAACTGACAAAGTTTGATGATTCTAAGCCAATTAGTAACTGAAAAAGCCATCAAATTCTAAAGTAGGTCATGGTGACCTACTTTTTGGTTGACCCACTCCGAGGACTCAAGATGCATCAACTGACTAAGTTTGATGATTCTATGCTTCAAAGTGTCCAAAATATGCCCCAAAACAATTTGAAAATGAATACCTGTAAAATTCCAAAAGTAGGTCACTCTGACCTTTTTAACAAATCTGATTTAAGGCCCCTAGGTGCATCAACTTACAAGGTTTGATGATTCTAAACTTCTTAGTATCTGAAATAATGACCCGAAATGTTTAGAAAATGATAAGCCATAAAATTCAGAAAGTAGGTCATGGCGACCTACTTTTTAGTTGACACACTTCAAGATCCCATGATGCATAAACTGACAAGTTTTGATGATCAGAGGCTTCAAAGTATCCAAGTTATGCATCAAAATTAAAATGAAAATGATTACCTACGAAATTCAAAAAGTAGGTCACCGTGACCTACTTTTGAGTCAACATGATATGAGCTCCAAAGATGCATCAACTAACAAGATTTGACGATCCTAGGCCTTATAGTGGGCAAAATATAAAAGATTAAACAAAACATAAATTTTGGTCAACTTTGAAGTGACCTTGAGACCACACCCTTTGCCCCAGGGCGATTCCCCATGCAAATTTTAATCTACAACATATCCTCATCCTTGTATATAAGTTTGGTGATAATATGCCCAGTGGTTCTTGAGGAGGAGATTTCTTAGCAACCACTACTTTTGTTTTTATTTCCCAAATTATCTCTCCTTGTTTCAGGGAAACATCCCTAGTTTTACAATAAATGAAAGCCACTCTGTGACAAATTTGAAAAAAATTGACTAAGAGGTTCTTGAGATATGGCCCATTTTCCAAAAAGTTTACACACACCGCACAAATGGCCATACCATTAGCTCTTTGAGCCTTTGGCTCAGAAGAGATGAAACCGCTTCTTTTTTTCCTCTAATTCATATACCTACCTAAACAAGTAGTTCCCGTCTCATCCAGAGTGTATCCCTGATTACATTTACAGGTAAAGCTTCCCACTGTATTACCACAAACTCCATCTTTACAAATATTTGGGAACTCAAGGCATTCATTGATGTCTATAAAGAATAAAACAATTTTATTAGCACACATAAACAGAACAACCTGTTCTCTTATAGATTACTTTTTTTTTTTAGAACAAAACTGACAAAATTGATAAGTTTATAATCCATTTTTACCTGGTTGTTTTGTTGTATCACACAGCTGCTTGAATTCAACTGTAAATAATGAATTCTTGCAATTCAAATGAGCAGAACAGACAGTTACTAGAACTCATAATGCATATTACTTAATTATGATTAAATATAAGTAAATCAAATGTTTAAAATGTGAAAATTTCATTCGATTTACCATAACATTTCTGTTATTACTTACAAAAAATTCTGTTATCAGGGGATGAATTAACTGCAAATGTACTTGGCACAAATTAAAGAAATACCATGATTTTTTTCCTCCTGACAGCATGGCAACAAATATACCTAGTGCTTGACTGGCTATTGTTACATATTAAGTTGTGTGCATACTTGATTTTTCCCTCCTAAAAACTATTCAATCCAAAATAATGCCTGAGACACGAGAACAAAATTAATGTCTACAGACTGACCTGAACCTCTACGGGGACATGCTGAGCAGTCTGGTCCCCAGGCCTTCCCCAGAGAGCAACAACATTTGACCTTTGAGTACCTCCCTTCCACAGGACGTTCACAGGACCCTCTTCTGTACTCCAAATAACAGATGCCTTCCCTCTTATCTGTATTAAATAAATTCAGAGACATTTCATAATATGAAAGAAATACTGAAAGGTACTCCAGAGAATACCAATGCATTGTATATGCTATGGATCTTCTCTATCTATATATTTTCTTTTTATATATTTTTTTAAATATATCTTTAAAATACTTTTCTTTTTAGAAACATCTTTTACTTTTTTGTCTTTAAACACAAGCCTTTTTGTAATTTAAATTTCTAAATTAGGTAACTTTTTCATTACAGCTCAAGTGTTTGTCTGCCCTACCTATACATTTTCTGCCAGAGGCATCTAGAATCAGCCCTGGGGGACAGTTACATCTGAAGGACCCCTGAGTGTTGACACATAAACCTCCTCCTTCACAGATGTTCTCAAACATCTCACACTCATTTATATCTGTCAACCAAAAAAGAAAAGAAAAGATTTTCATGTTCTCTATTTATTCCATCTTTGATATGTGAAGAAGTAAATTCATCTCTGATATGTGAGGAAGCTAGTGTACTCATGTAAAAATACATATAACAATCAACATGCGATTCAGCACTTTTTTACCTAAACAGTTTCTGCCATCATTTGTGGCATACCCTGGGGGACACTGCCTCTCCTGTGATGTAGGGCACTCCTCACAGGGACTGCCCCAGGCTACACCAATGCTTCCACAACACTCTGACTTGGTCACCAAGGTCCGAGCATTATTTTCACATCGACCATTGTTAATCTCTAACCAGCAAGATCCTTTCCTGTTGTCTACAACACAACAAACAAGAAATGTTTGAGATGTTCCCTGTGTGGCAATATTATATGGGAACAACTTTAAATTTAGAATGTCTGCAATGATAATGAAAAAATTTGGATGTCTACTTGTTGGGGAAAACACAGTACTAAGCTTGATCTCTATCAGACATCAATATCACTATGGGAAACTTACTTCTTACAGAGAGTATCATTGTACTAAATTTGATGTCCATAAAGCAAATAGTTTTCAAGATACTTAACTGACAATATCTTCCTATTGTCTAGTGTCTATGTTGTTTTACCCTTGACCTTTGATCTTGTAACTTTCCTGGGAAAACTGTGTACCATGTTTGATGTGTGTCAAGCAAAGGATTGAAGGATACCGAATGGTCAATATATTTCTTTGTCCAGTTTGACCCTTGATCTTGTGACCTCAGAATCTACAGTGCTCATCTACTCCTTAAATGGAACCAGTGTGCCAAGTTTGGTGTCTGCCAGCAAAGGGTTTTCAAGATACTGAGCAGTCAGTATTTACTTTTGTCCAGTTTGATTGCTGACCTATGATTTTATTACCTCAAAATTGATAAGGCTCATCTACTCCTTGAGGGGAACCAATGTACCGAATTTAATGTCAAGCAAGGAGTTCTAAAGATATTAAAAGGACAATATCTTCCTACATCCAGAGGAGTTTGACCCTTGACTTTGGGACCTCAAAGTATACAGTGGTCATTTACTCCTTACGGGAAATCAGTGTTCTAGGTTTGATGTATGTCAAGCAAAGGGTCCTAAAAATATTGAGCAGCCAATATCTTTCTATGTCAGTTTGACCCCTGACCTTTGAGCTGTGACCTCAAAATTAATAGAGGTCATCTACTTCTTAAGGGAAACCAATGAATCAAGTCAAGGAAAAGGTTTTTAAGATATTAAATGGACAATATTTTCCTATGTCCAGAGTAGTTGGACTCTTGACCTTATGACTCAAAATCGGTAGGGGTCATCTTCTTCTTCAAGGAGTTCAGTGTGCCAGTGTTTGATGTGTGTCAAGCAAAGGATTCTCAAGATATTGAGTGGACAACACTTGGTCTACTGACACGCATATAGACTAACATACCGACTGTCCAACCAAAAGGTGCAAAGCGATATGCCCCCTTTTTTCAAGGAGAGCATAAAAATAGCTGTACATTTTCTTAGATTTCCACAGCATTTTATGAACATAATCTACATAAAAAGTCATTTCCCTAAAACCTACATATCTTACTCATGTGTCAGCTTGATTTGGAGTACCCTGGCAATAGATTAGCTATGTAAGAGATGGAATTAACACTAAATACAAACTAATACCTAAACATATCCTCCCAGTAGCATCAAGCTTTGTTCCTGGGTCCAAACAGTCACATCGGAAACTTCCAGGAACATTGTTACATGTCCCTCCAATACAAGGGTTGCTGTCTGTGCATTCATTTATATCTGTAAACATCAATAATATCAATTTTAATCGGCCTAAGTTTTCTTTCCTGAGAAATTTTAATTCATTCTGATTTTCCTAATATGATATCTGATACTTTGACTTTAATGGCTTCAGTGATACCTTCACAAGCAGTAGTGGCTGGATTGAGTCGGAAACCTGAGGGACAGGTGCAGTGAAAGCTTCCTATGGTGTTTTTACAAGTTCCACCATCACAATAGCGAGGGTACCTTTGACATTCATTTATATCTGCAATGAAAATCATTTCTGCATAATACATAACATTGTCATGAAATCTAAAACCTGACATCAACTTTTCATCTTTTGATTAAAGCAGTTTAGACCTATTATAAGTTTTCCCTACTTCATATATTTTTGAGCATGCCCTTATTATTTTCTCTTACCAAGACACTTTTTCCTTGTGGGATTTGGGGTAAAACCCTTATCACAAACACATCTATAGGTTCCTTCCAGATTCTCACAAGCTCCATTTTCACAGATATTTGGATTCAGCATACATTCATTAATGTCTGAAATAAATAATGAATTTTTCAATAACTGGAATCAAAAACAAGAGGCCCACGGGCCTTATAGGTCACCTGAGTATCATATAACAACGTTCCAACAATTGAATTTGGTTCCTTTTTTTTAAACCAGAGGCCACGAAATTCACAATTTTGAAAGAGGCACCATTGCTCATCATAATAAACTTAGCATGCTTAGTTTGATTACTTAATTCCCAGAGTCAGAGCAGAGGAACAAAGCCAAATTGCATTTCCACTATGTAATCAGCCCCACCCCACAGGAACCCCTGACCCTAGGGCCACACATTTCACAATTTAGGAAAAGGCACCCTTGCTCATATTAAATGTTTGATTAATACCAAAGAGCAGATTTCAAAGTATTAATTCATTTTCAGTGTATATAATCATTAGAGCTCCCCCCCCCCCCCCCCCCACGGTACCCCTGACCCATGGGCCTTGAAATTCACAATTCTGGAAGAAGCAACTTTGCTCATCATAACTATGCACTTAGATCACCGACATAATACCCAGGAGCAGAAGAGAAGATTTTTCAAAGAATTAATGCATTTTCACTATATAATATATAGAGCTCCATTCTAAAATCAGAACCCCTGACCTAGGGGCCATGAAATTCATAATTTTGGAAGAGGCATCCTTCCTAATCATAACTATGTACTTAGTTCATCAGCTTCGTACCCAGGAGCTGAGGAGAAGATTTTCAAAGAATTAATGCACTTTCACTATATAATAAATAGAGCCTCGCCCTAACACCAAAACCCCTGACCCAGGAGCCATGAAATTCACAATTTTAGAAGAAACACTCTTGCTCAACATAACTATGTACATGATTCATCGGCTTAATACCCAGGAGCAGAGGAGAAGATTTTCAAAGAATTAATGCATTTTCATTATATAAACAATAGAGCCCTGCTTTAACATCAAAACCCCTGACCCAGGGGCCATGAAATTCACAATTTTGGAAGAGGCAGCTTTGCTCATCATAACTATGCATTTAGTTTATTTGCTTAATACCCAGAAACAGAGGAGAAGATTTTATAAGAAATAATGTATTTTCACTATATATTCAACAGAGCCCCACCCTAGCACCAGAACCCCTGACCCTGGGGCCATGAATTTCACAATTTGGTAGAGAGCTCAATGCTTATTACAATCATGCCAACAGTTTTGCTGCTTGATGTCCAGGAGTAAAGAAGAAGATTTTTAAACATTGCATTTATATTGATGATTTTAGCCTCACCCCTCAGGCCCCAGGGGGGCAGGAGCCATGAATTTCATAATATTTACTCCCCTTCACCCATAGATGCTATATGCCAAAATTGGTTGAAATTGGTTCAGCGGTTTCAGAGAGGAAGCTGAAAATGTTTAAATGTTTAAACGCACGATGCACGCCGACGGACAAAAACAGATAGCAATAGGTCACCTGAGTTTACTCAGGTGACCAAAAAAAAACCTACAACATAAAATATGACAGTTATTTGTCATTTCCTTAAAAAAAAAAACCTTGCAAATGAACAGAGCAAAACACATCTAGTTTTACCTTAAGTTTCCTACCTAGTATACATTTAAGCAGCACTGACCTGGAATGCCCCTACAGAGTTGTGAGTACTGCGCCTCTCCTTTCCTTGGACACAGTTCACAACGAGGTCCCCATGCCTTCTGCAGGTCATCGTCCATACAACAGCAAAGTGACTTAGACATCTGAGAAGCCAGGGCACTGGAGCAGTGGCCCCGTCGATATTCCAGGTAGCAACTGCCATGCCTAATATCTGACATTGGATTTACCATTTTAAAAAAAAATATGTACAAGAAACAATATGCGTTTCTACCATTTGAGATATCAAAACTAGAAATATGTCCATAGGACATGAATGCCCCGCCGAGGGTATATTAGTAATGCAACATTTTAACACAAATTGAGAAAAGTGAGGTCAAAGGAAAGGTCAAGGTGAAAAAATATCGATGCAGTTGAATAGCTTTCATCAGTATGTATCAGCATATGAAGTTTGACACTAATTTAAGAAAAGTGAGGTCAAGGTCAAAGTAAAGGTCAAGGTCAAAAATTGTTGATGCAATTGAAAAGATTACATCAGTATGTATTAGCATATGAAGTTTGATAAAAATATTATGAATGGTTTCTTTAAAACTGAGCTGAACACTAATCTAAGAAAAAAGAGTTCAAGGTCAAAGGAAAGGTCAAGGTCAAAAAATATTGATGCAGTTGAATAGCTCTTGTCAGTATATATCAGCATATGAAGTTTGACACTAATTGAAGAAAAGTGAGGTCAAGGTCAAAGGAAAGGTCAAGGTCAAAAAATGTTGATGCAGTTGAATAGCTCTCATCAGTATGTATCAGCATATGAAGTTTGATAACACTATCTTGAATGGTATCTTTAAAACTGAGCTAAAAACTTATTTAAGAAAAGTGAGGTCAAGGTCAAAGGAAAGGTCAAGGTCAAAAATATTGATGCAGTTGAATAGCTCTCATCAGAATGTATCAGCATATGAAGTTTGTTAAAAATATCTTGAATTGTTTCATTAAAACTGAGCTAAACACTAATTTAAGAAAAGTGAGGTCAAGGTCAAAAGAATGGTCAAGGTCAAAAAATGTTGATGCAGTTGAATATCTTACATCAGTATGTATCAACATCTGAAGTTTGATTACACTATCTTGAATGGTATCTTTAAAACTGAGCTAAACACTAATTTAAGAAAAGTGAGGTCAAGGTCAAAAGAAAGGCCAAGGTCAAAAAATGTTGATGCAGTTGAATAGCTTACATCAGCATATATCAACATATGAAGTTTGATTACAGTATCTTGAATGGTATCTTTAAAGCTGAGCTAAACACTAATTTAAGAAAAGTGAGGTCAAGGTCAAAGGAAAGGTCAAGGTCAAAAAATGTTGATGCAGTTGCATAGTTTTCATCAATATCTATCAGCATATGAAGTTTGATAAAAATATCTTGGATAGTTTCTTTGAAACTGAGCTTTGAACAGAGCTCAACACAAAGTGTGACAGAAGGACAGACGGAAGGATGGAAGGACAGAAGGACGGAAGACGGACATGACAAACACTATATGCCCCGCCCATATTCATGGCGGGGCATAATAAAACACAAGACCTTAATTTTACTCACAGTCGTATTTCTATAGCAAGGAACAATTGTCTCACCTAGACAGGTTTTCCCATCACTCTGTAATTGGAAGCCACTGGGACACTCACACCGATAACTTCCCTGGTTGTTAATACATATTCCATTCACACAAGGATTTCTGAGACATTCATTTACATCTAAAAATGATAACATTTCTTGTTGTTTTATAACAGACAATTAATTAACTAAATTTCAGATTTAAAGAACAATTCTCCAATAAAAAACTAAATACTTTGAATTAGATCTGGGATGAAAATCTGCACATGTACCAGTATGATATGGGCAAAAATTCACAAATTTTCCAACCTCCAGTAGCCATGAAAACACATGCCTCTTTGACCAACTGCCCCACTTTCCCATTCAAAAACCCCTTGTTATCTAATTCCACTCACCAAGACAGGTTCTGCCATCAGAAGAAGATGTGAATCCTGTGTTACACACACACTTATAGCCACCATTTAGGTTTACACATACACCATGTGTACACATACCAGTACGTTCACACTCATTGTAATCTGAAAAAGAACTAAAACTACTTTAAAATGGTCATGCAGTTTGAGTTTGTCATTTGTACTCAGTCATAATTAGCAAAATTGTTTTTTGAAGAGTTGTAGAATTTTTTGTACCACTGTTTTACATGGATAAATATTTGAATAATTGATTCAATGTCACTTTTAAAGTTCACTTTCGAAAGTTTTAAAATTCAATTTTTTGAATTGATTCATGTAATATTTAGCAAAATGAAAAGATGTAGCATACATAACAACTGTCAATTCATTTAGCTTCATATGTAACATACCTAAGCAGTAAGCCCTGTCTGGGGACAGCCGATAACCTTGGTTACAGATACATTTGTAAGATCCCTCTGTATTCTGACATCGACCATTAGTACATAGTTTACCATTCTCTGTACATTCATTTATATCTGAAAAACAAAATCTTTGCAACTCAGTAGCATAGAACATTTAACAAGAGGCCCATGGGCCTTGAATCGCTCTTCTGATAAACTGTACAACCTATCACTTCTATTTGAAGCCTCGAAGTATCCTGTATATTTAGATAAACCCTTGAAATTCCAATTCACACTCTGAGAACCCAAAATGATTCTAAGCCAATTAGTACCTGAGAGTTGGTCATGGTGACCTACTTATCACTTGTCATTCTCTGAAGACCCATCAACTAAGTTTGATGATTCTAAGCCAATTAATACCTAAAATATTTTTTAAAATTATAACCATAAAATTTTATAAGTAGGTCAAAGTGACCTACTTTTCAATTGTTTTACTCCAAGGACCCAAGATGCAAAAGTTTGATGATTCTAAGCCAATTAGTACCTGTAATATTTAATTAAAGCCATAAATTTTCAAAAGTAGGTCACCGTGACCTACTTTTCAGTTGCTGTACTCCGAGGACCAAAGATACATCAACTGACAAAGTTTGATGATTCTAGCCAATAAGTACCCAAAATATTTAATTACAGCCATAAATTTTCAAAAGTAGGTCACGGTGACCTACTTTTCAGTCAACCTACTCCGAGGACCAAAGATGCATCAACTGACAAATTTTGACGACTCTAAGCCAAATAATTCCTGAAAATATTAAATACAGCCATAAAATTTCAAAAGTAGGTCACGGTGACCTACTTTTCAGTTGTTGTACTCCGAGGACCCAAGACGCATCAACTGACAAAGTTTAAAGATTCTAAGCCAATTAGTACCCGAAATATTTGACTAAAGCCATAAATTTTCATAAGTAGGTCACCGTGACCTACTTTTCAGTTGTTGTACTCCGAGGACCCATGACGCTTAAACTGACAAAGTTTTATGATTCTAAGCCAATTAGTACCCAAAATATTTTATTAAAGCCATAAATTTTCTGAAAGTATGTCATGGTGACCTACTTTTTAGTCGACCTACACCGAAAACCCATGAGGCATCAACTGACAAAGTTTGATGATTCTAAGCCAATTAGTACCCGAAATATTTAATTAAAGCCATAAATTTTCAAAAGTAGGTCACGGTGACCTACTTTTCAGTTGACCTACTCTGAAGACCCAAGATGCATCAACTGACAAAGTTTGATGATTCTAAGCCAATTAGTACCCGGAATATTTAATTAAAGCCATAAATTTTCAAAAGTAGGTCACCGTGACCTACTTTTTAGTCTACCTACTCCGACAACCCATGAGGCATCAACTGACAAAGTTTGATGATTCTAAGCCAATTAGTACCCGGAATATTTAATTAAAGCCATAAATTTTCAAAAGTAGGTCACGGTGACCTACTTTTTAGTCGACCTACTCTGAAGACCCAAGAGGCATCAACTGACAAAGTTTGATGATTCTAAGCCAATTTGTACCCGAAATATTTAATTAACGCCATAAATTTTCAAAAGTAGGTCACTGTGACCTACTTTTAGTCGACCTACTCCGAAGACTCAAGATGCATCAACTGACAAAGTTTTATGATTCTAAGCCAATTAGTACCTGAAATATTTAATTATAGTCATATAAATTGAAAAGTAGGTCACGGTGACCTACTTTTCAGTTGACCTTTTTTGAGGACCCAAGATGCATCAACTTACAAAGTTTTATGATCATAGGACTTAAAATGTCCAAATTATGCCTCTAAAACGCTTTGAAATCGAATGCCTGCAAAGTTCAAAAAGTAGGTCACTGTGACCTACTTTTTAATAAATATGTTTTATGGCCCCAAGATGCATCATCTTACAAGATTTAATGATTCTAAGCCTCCCTGTATTCGAATTAATGACCTTAATTGTTTTAAAAAAGTTTAGCCATAAAATTCAAAAAGTAGGTCAAGGTGACCTACTTTTTAGTTGACGTACTTTGAGGACCCAAGATGCATCAACTGACAAAGTTTGATGATCATAGGCCTTAAATTGTTCAAAATATGCCTCTAAATCATTTTGAAAAAGAATGGCCGCAAAATTTAAAAAGTAGGTCACCGTGACCTACTTTTGAGTAAACATGATATGAGGTCCTTAGATGCACCAACTGACAAGATTTGATGGTCCTAGTCCTTATAGTAAGCAAAATATCAACATTTTAATAAAATGTAATTTTTGGTCAACTTTGAAGTGACCTTGAGACCACGCCCTTTGCCCCAGGGTAAATCCCCTTGCAAATTTAAATCTACAACATATCCTCATCCTTTTGTGTAAGTTTGGTGATAATCTGCCCAGTGGTTCTTGAGAAGAAGATTTTTTAGCAACCAGTACTTTTGTTTCTATTTTCCTAATTATCTCCCCTTGTTAAAGGGTCACAACCCCAGTTTTAGTATAAAAGGGAGCCCTTGGGCCAAGGATACCCTGTGACAAATTTGACAATAATTGGCCAAGGGGTTCTTGAGTTATGGCCCATATTCTAAAAAGTTTACGCACACCGCACAAATGGCCATAGCATTAGCTCTTTGAGCCTTTGGCTCAGAAGAGCTAAAAACAAAGCAGGACCAGGCCATCAATAAAAATATCTTTGTTTCCCCTAACCCGACCCTAAAATTTCAAGTTGAGTAGGTAGGTAGGTAAATTATTTTTTTTTCTGACAGCAGTTTTGAAAATACATGCTGAAAATTGAATAATATCTGTATAAATAAGAAAGAACAAAAGAAACCGATTTTTAAACCGAATATCATACAAATGAAATTTAACATGTATGGTAAATTAATTCACAAATATTATTTATTTAAACTTAATTTTAAATTTATTGAAATTGAATTTTTACAAAAAGACAAGATTCGCAAATACTCAACCATCAGCCATCCGAGTATATTTTTTTAAACCTACTATCATCTTCGAGTGCTTACCCAGATAAAATGTCAAGGACCTTGCGTGGCGCAGTAATTATAGTGTTTTGTTTTGGAGTCACGACGTAATTCAGGAGTTTATTCTAAGTCACAGGTCCCGACGTGGGGCGTGGAAACTGGTCAGTCAAATGAGACCATAAAAAAACGTAGGGCCATGCAGTGTCACAGTATACATGTAGATGTTGGCCGATAAAGATCCCTTACTGATGCTTTACATGTATGATCAATGGCCATAAGTGCCAAGAAAAAGTCTAAATTAGGAGCCCTCCACCAGGCAGGTGTTCAAATGTTGTCGACCCAGCAATTTTTAAAGGTATTTTAAAGCAAAGAAACAACCTATTTTCAAGGGCCCAGCTAAAGAAAAGAAAATTACACTGGACATCTCAGGAAGCCGTACCATAATCCAACTTTAAAGATTTTAACACTATTTGAAAAGAGAGTACCTGTACATGTATAAACAATATCTAATTCAACCAAACCATATCTAAAATGATTAAAGTTCCATCCAAAACGAATGAAATGCAGTGAAATTTATTGATATGCATACACAAAGTGGGCTTCGTCATGCTTACTACGTACGTTAATTTTAGAAGACACATTTGTAAATACCATCTTAACACTCTTTAGTCATGATATATTTTATTCATGAAATGTTTCAAGAGTGTAGGATTATGCTAATAAGTTAAAGATGTATATTAAGACTGATACATCGCCGTTGTTTTATAACACTAAATAACCCTCTGTGGCCACATGTTGTGGGCGCCAAATGAGAGTAAAACAAAAGCCGCCATTCTGAAAAAAAACGAATTTTGATGAAATTGTATTTTAAAAAATTGATAAACAATAAAAATAAATATTTGAATAATCTTATTAAAAAAACTTTTCAGTCGGCACGATTTAAGTGGGTCGGTCGCGTTAGGGGAAACAAACCTATTTTTTATTTTGGCCCCACTGGCAATAATACTCATCAGATTTACACTTCTCTCACATAATTAAATATATCCATAAAATAAACTCCCTTACTGTGGATCCCAAACTTGAAGATTTGCTGACAACAATTAAATCTAATATTTGTTTTGAATGATGATCACAAGGAATTAACTAAATAAGTAAATGTGATTTATCAAAAATCTTGTGTCTTCCTGTCAGACCTTACCTACCATAACAGACTTGTAGGTTAGATGATGGACGATAACCTGGGTTACAATCACATTTGTAGCTTCCGTCCATGTTTACACACCGACCATTAGGACACATCCTTTTAGTGGCACATTCATTCATATCTAAAAACAGAATATTCAAAATTAAACTTTGATTATTTATTTTAATTTTGACATTTTTGTTTTTAAGTTGTTCACAAAATAATCAATATAAAGTATATGCAGATTGCCAAAAGTTAAGCAACATCACATTAACTTTGTTTTTAAATAAAAACCTTTCTATTCTAAGAATTAATGTTAGCTTGTTTCCATACTTTTTGGAACTCACATAACTACTGGTTAGTGCTTTTCAATGATACTGGTACCAAAGCTAACCAGAGGCCCATTGGCCATAATGCTCACCTGAGTCACCTTGGCCCCTCTGTTCTTCAGAGGATTGCTAAAATATCCCCCCTCTTTATTTTCATGCAAAATTTGACACCATACTGTAAACTACATGTACCCTTGCCCAGAGGTGTCTAGACTTAACTGATCTTAAAAAAAACCACACATGAGGAGGCTTCAACATCAGTACAACTGACATGGGCTTGCTGTTCTGGAGAAGATTCTTTTAACCTTTATACATGCATTATGTAAAATTTGATCCCCAATTTTAGCCAAACCCTAATCCCAGGGTCCATAATTTGAAAAAAAAAAATTGAGACCATACTCCATACAACTTTGGAATGTTTGCACACTGAAATGATTTAGTGTGGCCCTGCTATTTTTTTAAAAGATTTAATTTTTTCAATTCCTTCCTATATATTCTTACGTAAAACTTTGAATCTCTATTTTCAGCCCAACTCTAGCCCCAGGGTCCATAATTTGAACTTACTTGAATCTGCATTACATTGGAATGCTTTACACAAGTCCCTCCCTCAAAAAAAAAAAATTGACCCCATAGTGCCTCCACCATTATTCAATTACTAACACAACTCTGCACTACCTGAGGAGTGAGGATGCTTGCATATTAATATGACAAATCATGGGCATGCTGTTTTTTTGAGAAGAAATTTTTTCCTATATATTTTTCTATATACATGTATTTCCATGAAAAATTGCACCCTCTGCTGTGGTCCGACTTAACATTCGCCTCTCTTTTTTCCATGATTTGAACAAACTTGAATTTATATGTTTCATCTTTTTCTGGCCCTGTGGTTCTCGAGAAAAAGTTCTTTTTAAATGACCCCATCTTTTTTGCCTTCTCTTGATTATATCCCCTTGGAAGGGGCATGGGCCTTCATTTGAATAGTTTTAAATCTCTTTTATCCGAAGATGGTCTGTGCCAATTTTGGGTCAAATTTGGCCCCGAGGTTCTAGAGAGAATTAGACAAAAAATGTGTAATGTTTAGACAGATGAACACTGGGCAACTATGTGAAAAAAGCTCACTTGGGCTTATAGTTCAGGTGAGCTTATAGTCACTGTGATATGCATCATATCATGAGTATATTCTGATAATTCACACATCAGCCCTTCCTGACACTTACCTTTACATTGACCATCTGGTGACAGTACATATCCACGGTTACAACGACATCTGTAACTCCCAGGAGTGTTAAAGCACTGACCATTACGACATATGCCTTGCTGCTCTGAGCACTCATCTATATCTATCAATAAATGGGTAAAAAAAAAGTCAATTGTTTGACTCTCCAATGAGCTTTCTATAAAACTGTCATCCTTTGGAAGAATTGTTTTCTTTTATATAATTTTCTAGGGAAAACTCATTTCCTATCATAGGTACCTAGGTTTCTTTTTTTGTAATGACAGGGAAAAAAAGAGAACGCAAGTAAAAAAGACAAGTACGGTTTCACATAATGACCATTTTTGACCAAAACCTATGGCAAGTTCAATTAAATAGTTGCCATTCCACATTCTTAAATTAAAGTCTTCTCTGAATCAGGAGTTGGTTAACTTATTAAATATTTTGATATACTTCTCAATAGAATGTATAGAGAGTACCCGGGCATTTACAGAGCCATATTGTCCCACAGTCCCACACTGTAAATGCCCGCCCGGGACTACTCTCGTTTGTGACATCACAATATATTTTCCCATCTCTCCATTTTATATCACATACATGTGCATTTGACTTCACAATTATCCATTGAACTGGCAGTTACTATTCTGTAAGGATGTTTGTGACCAGAAAAGTACAGATTCCATTCAAATGAATCCAAAAAAATGTATTGGTACTATTAAAATATGCAATAATAAGGTTGACTGAATATCAGGAAGTTCCCATCCTCCAGCTTTGTGCAGGTGTGAACCTCGCAAGCTTGGTCCACTTTACCATGCAAAGACCTCAGGCGGGTATATTTCTCGATATTCATATATATAGTCAATAACTTTAATTAATACATAATTTTTTCAAAATATTTCATATATTAATTTGCTCCTTTTACATCACTTTTTTAAAAAATCTAGCATGGTGATAACTTGAGAAGTATTTAAAAGCAGCTAAATTCTTTGTTTTTGTTATATATGATTACCTGTGCACCTGTTTTTGTCTGTTGTAGGTTTGTAACCTGGGAAACAAACACACCTGTAGGAATACTGGGTGGACTCACAGCGAGCGTTCACACACAGATTGGGAAATAGTCGGCATTTGTCTCTAACTAAACCTCCCCCTCTCTGACAAAGTGCAGAATGGGCCTCTTTAAAAAGAAAATCAATATACACACTTACAGAAAGTAAAAATTTGTTGAGCTACCTGGCACTTTATCAATTCAGAGCTACAAAGTAAAGCATATTCCATAAAAGTTACATGATATTAGCTCATGGGAAGTGGCAGAATGCCACATAAAATTTGAAATAATTCTGTTAATTATTGAATACAATTAAAAATTGCTGAATCAGGACACCACTTGTTCCATAAAAACTTGCCAGATTTATCAACATTCTGAATTAGAAAAAATTTTCACAATAGAATTTACTGAAAGGGACAAAAAGTCCACAGAAATATGCAAGAACACACTATATCTGGATTAGACAGGTTTTACTATACATATAATTGTAAAACAGCTAGCAAATAGCACCATAATCATTATGGTTCATATCCTAATTGCATAGACCCAGCTTTATATAGCAATGAATATTACCCTCTCCAGGTTTTGGACATATTTGGCAGTTAGAGACATCTCCCCACCCCTTTCCTGAATCACAGCAGCAATCAGCCAGAGATAAAAGGGGAACCATTGGCTGAGAGCACCTGTTGTTTACAGCTTGCAGAAAGCATCTTTTCTTCTGTATTCCTACAACATGTACAAATTTGATTATTTAAACATGTACCTTATTAATTGAAAATGGCAAAAGGCATACATGTATATGAAAAATTTTGCTCTTTTATTTTTACCTCACCTAAACAAAAAGCTTGTGGGCTTTTCTGATTGAAGTTTGTCAGTGGTCAGTCTGTCTGTCTGTTATAACTTTTTGAATTTTCTACTTCCACTCTAGAACCACTGGACCAATTTCAACCAAACTTGTTATAAAGCATCCTTGGGTAAAGGAATTCAAGTTTGTTCAAATAAGGCCCTCTTTAAAAAATTGTTTGTTTGCATGCCTTCTCCCGACTGACTGGCTAAAAATGGCCCTTACTCAAAACTTTTTAACCTCCAGGAAACGAATTTTTTCTCTCTTTTTATTCCTGAATTTTCTCACCCTGTCAATATGTTTGTTGAACTTTTCTAGGTAAAAAAAAATTCCCACCTACTTACCGATCCAAATTTTTTTTTTACTCTGAGTCAGGAGAAGGCAAACATTATTTTAAAGATGGCCTGATGGGTCACACATTTGAAAGGGGAGAAAATCAAGAATTAAAAGCCCAATACTGGGTGCGTGTTTTAAAAAATTTCATTACTCCAAAAGAGATAAAACTTAAATTATGTTAAAGTTTTCTGACATAGTAAAATCAAGTTTGTTCAAATCATGGCCCCCAGCAGGGCCATGATTAATGCAAGAATCCCCCAACCATAAAAATGCATATATATCTTATATGATTGAAAACAATAGGAGTCATTCAAAGCTGAAAATCCTGAAACAAGACAACAGAAGCCAGACTTAAGCTAAGGCGAGCTTAAAACAGAAAGTAAATTTAAAACATGGGTGCAGGAGAACAAATTAATGTATATGTTTTTAAGTTTTTCAATTGCTTTGTCCATTATCAGCTGATAACAACCAGCTTTCTGGAATTTACTCTCAGCATGTGCAGCTGCACTTTACATCGACCAAGAATTAGTGGTAAACACTCAAGGTAAAGTCCTTGTGATCTACACTTTAAACATCATGAAAACTATTCATGCAAACTATAGGAACAAAATATTTTGACTAAAAGGAAACATTAATTATGCTGACTTATCATTTGACTAAATACCACATTATTTATTACATTACTACCAAAGTGAATGTCCTATCAACTTCAAATTATGTACAAGAGAGGCTTTAAATTAGAGATTTTGAGAAAAACTGATACCCTGAATTCCCAGCTAAAAATCACTTGTAATTAATGCATTACGTAATATTTTTAAAAGAACTCCTGGCTCAAAACATGACTGTTTACACTATGGTGTAAAACTTCTGTGTTTTCATTTGGAGATGCTTTAGAACTGTTAAGTGGATCTCTCACAATGCTCTCAAAGAGCAACATGTATATAAAGTAGCTTCTGCATGAATCACAGAATTGCATAGTGTCAGAAGTTGGGTTCTTTTTGTGGAGTAATATAATCCATCAGCGATGATTAAACCCCAGCTTGATACCTATCAGATAGTATGGAGAACAAATTACCCTAAGCCTACAATTACCACAGCCTCCCTCAAAACTAGAGAGATTGATGGCAGTGTGTCTTTTTTTTAAATAAATATGTGTCTGGAATTTAAGTGAAATGATAAGCAGGCAGTAAGATTCCATCTAATACTATTAGTACATGTAGATCAGAAAATTGAAAATTCAACAAGACCCAGATCTATCTGTTTCTTTTCAACGTCTTTAATTATTAACAGATAATTAAAATGTCTCTTACTGATCTAGAAAATATTGGTTGAATTTTTTTTAAATTAAATTTGCAACAAAAAAAACCAGAAGTATGTGATGTGACTGTAGCTCTACTGCTTTACAGGCAACACAGCTAAATATGGATTAAATGTAGATAAATAGAACTTTGAAGTGGTCTACTTGTTCAATGATTAATGCAAGCATCCCCCATCCCCACCAACAAAAATGCATAAATATCTTATGAAATCAGACCAAAACTGCAAGAGAAGTACCAGTTTAAAAATTGCTTACAGACAGAAAGATGGACCATTCAGGGGTGTGCAATTACAAAATTTAGTTACTAGCCCGTCGGGCTAGTGGCAGTAACAAAGTTACTAGCCCGAGGTTGCCAGTCACTAGCCCATTAACTACCGAAAACAATACATGTATAAGTATAACAAAAAGGTAAAAAAAATTTAAGTTGAAATAAATAAAACAAATAAAGGTTTGCGCTTTGTAATTGTCAGGTACTTCTCCCTATTTTTATCCACTATAATTGTCATTGAAATGACTTGCGATAACAACACACAATACATATAGTTCAAAACGAATCAAAGATTAATATGATTTAACAACAAAGTTAATCCGTACATCAATTCAGTCGAAGTAAATGTTTTACATTTACCAGCCCGACGGGCTAAAACAGTATAGATTTATGATAGCCCGACCTCTAAACTTGGTAGCCCCGGGCGTCGGGCGATGGTAATTGCACACCCCTGCCATTGGTGGACATTTCACCATCATACATAATATGACTAGCACAGAACTTTATTACAGTCAAATCCTTTGAACTTTTAACAAACTGTGGATAATTAAATTGTGGAATGCCAAAAAAAAATAATAAATAAATACAGCTAAACTTCGAAATCTCGAACACGGATATCTCGAATACCCCGGATATGTCGAAGTAAGACTGCGGTCCCGACGAAATTTGCTTTATAAATGATTAAAATAAACCCCTCTATGTCAAACACGGTAATGTCGAATACCCCGCTTATCTCAAAGTAAAATTGTGTACCCATTCATTAAAATCATATGCATTATCTCGAAGTCAGGATAATTTTCCGCTCTGATGATCAAGTCCGTTAGGTAAACTGAACGCTCTATTGATAACATCCACCTGTCTGTCACGCATGGGTTACCTGTGTTCCTGTGATCAACAGACAATAGCGCGATAATTATACGAGGTGTATGTATGGCTTACCTTGATTTTAATTATGCAAGCTAAAGGTTGTGTGTATAAGTCTTATGCATACGCGTGGATGACACGTTATAAATTGTTTTGTGGCTGGGGTACGTTTATCTTGGTAATCGCTATTTAATGCTCTGTGTAATATGCGCGCTTGCATAGTTTATGCATATCAAAGCGAAAATTATAAAGATTAAAGTGAAACAAAATTCTGTAATTTAATGCAATTAGAATTTATTTTTCCTATATGAGCGCGCAGAATTTACAATCGTCAGTACACACCATCATGTGAGCGTGTGTCGCAGTGAAAACTTGACAAGTGCTATAGTGCCCTGTGGTTCAGTGTCGTTCTGTAGTTAGACAAAAGTGCGTGTTTCTTCTTTTGCATTTGATTTTATTATGGTAAAATATTTTCTTTTAACGGATTATACATGTATGAACATGTTTTTCCAATAAAAAAAAATGTATATTTCGTTTCCGTTTTTCTGACAGCGACCGGTTTTAAATTTACAATGCATAGACAATAACCGGTTATGTATACATGGGAAACGATCCTAGCGGTTGAGTAGACTTGCCGTGTTGGTAGAAGGATTATACTTCTGTGCATACTATACAAAGTTTTTATTTTGCGAATTATAAAGAGGATGTAAAAATCTTTTAAATGCTAAATACATGTCCATGTATATTTAAGAAATCGTATACAGAATTTCAAACAAGAAGGAATTTTATTAAGTGCATGTTCACTGCGCGAAGTTTTTTGAAGTTCATTAGAATTATAATCCTTGATATGTCGAACCCCCGGATATCTCGAAGTTCATCAACAGTCCCGTCAACTTCGAGATAACGAAGTTTAACTGTAAATAAAAATATGAAAATGAATTCATTAAACTTATTGCAAGAAATTAATTCCTAAGATAGAGCCCTATCATCCTCAGAAACAGGCCACTTACAATGCTGTCTTCTACTTTTACTTGGTTTATCATTTCCTACAAACTTACGCTTTATTTCATCTCCTGTATCATATGTCAGAAGTCTGCGACGTCTACAAATTGGTACTTCTATACATACCTATGCATGTAGATTTATCTGGGGAAAGTTCAAATCCCTCATTACAGGTGCAGAAGTAGCTCCCCTGGGTATTTGTACACTTCCCATTTCTACATATATCTCTTCTCTCAGCACACTCATCAATGTCTACAAGAAAATCAAATAAATTATTTAGTCTTTCCCATTATGTCATATTTTAGCCTACATTTTTTTAAAAATTGTTTAAATGACCTTGGATCAAAGCATTGAAACCTTTGGGTCGATAACCAATCATTGAGTCAAGAATGAGTGATGAGTTTTCACCAGTACTAAATCTTACTCAGATTGATCAGATAAATGATATATTCCCCATGTAACCTTTATTTGTAAGGAGGTGCTACAAGGTTGGGGGCTGGGCAAAGTTCATACAGATGAAGGTGAATTCTAGTGGAAATATAAGCAAATGTATATACATTTAATCCCAGCTGAAGGAAATAATTCTAACCTACATAAATATGAAGTCCATTGTATCTAATACTTTGCAAAAAAAAATACATATTGTATTGCTTAAAAACTAACAGAGATTCAAAATTTTTCATGTCTCATGACCTAGCCTTCCTTACCATATCTGTCCCAATGAGCACCAAAGGACCTTTCTAGGAATTGTCAATTCTGAAAGTGTTTATACTATATGGATAGTTTTTGATAGACACAGTTATAATAAGTTATTTCCAATATTGGATGTCAACATGCACAGATTCCTACATTATTCTTGTTATACTGGGCACTGAGGTGTAGATAACATTGTTTTTCTGACGAATATATGTTTGGTAAAGCCACCTTTCATTCATAATTTCAAATATTGTAAAGATTTTTCCCCATATATACATGTATGTGCCATACATGTTTAAAATTGGTTGCTCAGAGGAAAATTTACCACTGACCTCCAAGATGGCCAAGGGGAATAACTCCCTCCTCCAAAGGGAAAATACGACATATGAAAAAACTATCTACTGTAAATCACTTTTTATTCACGAAAAATTTATTTTTGCGTATTTATGTGAGACCGTCTGCTCACAAAAATTTCATCCTCCCATACATTAGCATTACTCAAGCATATATAGAGAAATGACCGAAAATCATGAATACTTTGTCTGGCTTTTAAATACCAAATAACAATGTTGCAAAAATAAGGTGCTGCAAAAATTAAGTGATTACAGTATTCTAGATTTTGAAATGACATTTGAAAAATTTCCAGAATTTTATTGAGTTTTTTATATGAGATCAGTAACAATAAAATATCATAAAGTTTGTAATCAGTTCTGCAATATACAGTGAAACTTGTCTAATCCATATATTGTGTATTCCGAAAACTTGCCTGCATACGATTAAAACTTCAAGTCCCTTTCAATAATTTCAATTGTTTAAAATGTTGTCTAATCCAGAATGTTGTCTAATCCGTCCAATTTCTTTGGAACCTGTGGTTGGCCGGATTAGACAAATTTTATTTTAAAATGTTTGTGTGCATTACTTTCTAATTTAAAATCTGTTAAAACTATGATTTTGAACATGCCCCAACTTATTTTTGTTTTCAAGTCTGGCTTGCTTCCTATGTCCAGCAGTTTAGGATCTGAGAGATATTTATCTTGTAATTTACCTTCACAGTCCTGAGTGATAGGATTCTGTCTCTGTCCTTTCTTACACTCACACCTATAGGAACCCACAGAGTTCACACATGTCCCACCTCCACACACCCCAGGTATTGCTACACACTCATTTACATCTACAACAGATTTATACTACATGTTTAACACAGAAAATACTGTGACAGAAATAATCTATGCATTGATATAATGTAATTAAACAATGTTTGACCTTTTTACTTCACAAAAATGCAGAATGGAATTGAAACATCTCATTTGGATTTACCTATGTGCTAAGTTAAGGATTGATATCATTATCAACAGGTAAGTTAAATATGTTATAGATTTCCCAATTTCAAGACCAAGAGGTCAATATCAACTCTTGTGACAATTATCTTAATCATTGTATCTTGATTTACCAATATGTGAAATCAGAAGATGATAATCAGAAAAGGTTATTTACAGCAAAAGTCATGAGGATCATTTATGAGCTTCAAGGTCAAATGTCTATCGAAAACATCTTGTTTAATTAATTTAAGGTTCACAACTCACACAAATTAAAAATCATGTGCAGATTTTTGTTAAAACAAAAACAAGCCAAACACTTGAAGCAATACAAAAGTTCTGCTTGCTTTTGACCTGTAGAGCCTAAGAAAAGGAATTGAAGAGGCATATACACTTTACCTTGACATGTGTTTGTTTGTAAGTTTGGAATGTAACCACGGCGACAAGGGAATGGTCGAATGGGGCATTGCTCACAGGGATTGCCCCAAGCTTTTCCTACTGTGGCACAGCACAGGTTCTTGGTACACACCAGCCCTGTCAGTTGACCCCTGCACATGTTGTTTGAAAGTTGGGTAAAACATGGTCCTATTCGATAATCTAAACAAGAAGGGAAAAAGACAGTTAGGGTGTAATGAATTCAGCTTCTGTAGATGTTACAAGTTACTATAAACGTAGAAATTTACACATGACACTAAATAAGTGAACAGAAATCTTCTCTATATTTCTCATTCAATTTTAACTTGTGCTATATTGTATTAGTATTTCTGAAATAACCCCCATGCATACAGTTTTACTGCTACAAGTTGTAATTTACATTTACAACACACTTTAATATCCACTTTTAAAGTATAATTTTGATGTTACAGAAAAGTATATATTTATTTTGCTGTGAACTATGCATAATGGAATTTTGACATGAAAAATATCAGCCTTACAGGGTTAAACGGAGAGACATATGGGCATTAAATTTAATCCTGTTTACATTAATACAATCCTTTTGTGCCTTTTTTAACATAGGTCTTGATCCCTTTTGACATATGCAGATACTCTACTTGCATCCCTGGTCATTATATATTCTTATTCTTCTCAAAAAAAAAAAGATTCAGCTTTGATTACTGATTTTTTTTTTTTTCAAAATGTTTTAGCATTCAGTGAATGTTTTGATTTATCAATGTAAAATGCTCCCTAGAATAAACACATCTTTCTGCATCGTCAGACTCTGACAGCTGAATAGTAAACTAAGGACTGGCAGGTATGACTTAATATCAAATGTCACAGGAAGCACCCTTAAAATAAGCACTTCTATTGTGAATGGGTAAACACATACATCTTAAAATAATCTACAGATGTGTTATTACAGAGCATCCAAAATAATGCAAGGTTTAATCTACTTTCAAACCTGACATATATTGCCTAAAGGCTTTGATTTCAAATACTGACACATATGATAATCAGGGTTGTGGTTAACTTTTGAAACCTTAGGGGCCATCTGGGCTCCTAACTTTACAAATTTTAAGGGCCCACAATGTGTTCCACGGGCCCACATTTAATGTGACATTATATTTTTAGTAAAAATAACAAAATCCTAATTTTTTTAACCTAGTTTTTTTAAATTCCTGGTATCAATATGTTCGCAGTCTTTTCTAAAACTGAAATCCGAGAATATATTCATTACATTTTGTAGTGTTTAATCATACAAATGAAGCATCTATGGTTTATCAAGGGGGCATATTAAATAATAAATTGCATACAACCCGTGATGAAGTTTGATTCCGATCTTTTTTTGTGTGCATTTGACACGATAATTCAAATTCTATCCATAAATAACGACCCCGGATTGTGTATCTGATTGTCCAGATTGAGTACCGTATCTGACAACCATAGCCGATTGTTACAATTGTTCTATAAGAACAATCTCAAACGTTTGCCTCATATTATCAAATTTAAGGGAGATTGCAAATTTAACCACTTCGATAAATCGCCATGTTTGATCAAAGTCACGTACATGTTTGACTAATATGCTTGCATGCAGCACAAATATAGTCTAGGTTAGTAGAGCATTTTCTTAAAACTGAAAGTACAAAGTATGTAATTCTGAAATGTGTTTATGTTCCGGAAAAAAAAATCGTTCGCCATATGGGTGACCAGATTTTTAATATCTAATCGCCCACGGCAAAATTTTACTTGTATTTGCGAGTGGGCGAGTGGTTATCCTCAACCCTGTGAAATTGCTTAAACGCCTCAAGTTCAACTATGCATACTTAATAAAAGAATATGATAATATATTGTGCTAACATATCAATATTGTAAATAAGAATAACATACATATTTTCCCTGAATATATATCTAATTTTTTACAACAAACATATATGTACATGAGCATCATTGCATTGAACCTTGCTAAATGTCTCCCTTGAATAAATGCATTGTCACAAATAATTTTTTTGCTGATTAAAGCATTACAAATTTATGAAAACAGAACAGATCATGTTCCATTGAAGATGAAGTTCTCATATACATACAGGCAGAGAGAAAACTTGTTTTCTTGGTGATCATTTTGAGAAAACAAAAATGTTTAAGATGTCTAAAAACACTAAATTCTATTCAACTTTGCAGAAATACCTAGTAAATGATGACAAATCCCCCATAAATGTCTTTCAATTTTGTCTTTTGATACCAAATATGCAAAAAAGGCAAACTAATGGGTCACCTTATGTTTATGTGGTCTTGTGATTTGATATTTAAATGCAATAAAGTAAAACAATTTACTTCAAAAGCTAAACATAAAAAGCTTTCTAAAAATGCAGAGAATTCCAATACTGCAGTAATCTGAAAATATAATGACCTATTAACACAGTATTAAAGTCAGCATTGAATACAAATCTTCCGATCTAGATTTCAGCACCCTTTAATGGCCAGGTACAGTTTAATTACCATTTTCACATCGTTTCCCTGAGAATCCATACGAGCATGCACATCTATTGTTTCCAATGCATCTTCCTCCATTTTGACACTGAGGGTTACACACAACTACAAAAAAGACAATAAACTTGTAGATTTGTTTTCATAAGTAGCGTATCCTTCACCTTTGAATAAATCTAGGCTGATTAGCACTCTTTGACAAAAAATTGGGGCAAATATATGGACAAAATTAAGAATTTTTAGGGCTAATTAAGGGCTAAAATTTGGAATTTTATAACAATATTTAGACAAGATTTAGACATTTTTAATCTTCTTGTGCCAACATACATGCCAACTTTCCCAATTTTTTCGGGAGTCTACCGATTTTTAACCCTACCTACCGCTTGTCTACCGATATATTTTTTTAATCCCATTTCTACCGATTTTTAGGAATTCCGGATTTTTTACCAATCTGCTTTGCATAATACCACATTTCCGTGTGAATAAAGATGGCGGTTCGAATGTTTATCGGTAGATATCTGTTTATTGCCGCTGATAACAGGTTATCAACAAGGTGTCAACTGTGCTACCAGTCATTACTGTGGTTTTAATTGCCCCCAATTCTCATTAACAGTGTATATTTACCTAGACAATCATGGCAGATGTGAAAATTTTAGAAATACACACAACAGGATACAAACTTGTGACGAGTTCACACTTTACCGCAAAATTTGACAATATACATATAAGCTGTTAATAAAAGGTTTTCAAGTTTAGGAAATACGGCATTTCTCACTATAATTACGAACTACGTCATTGATCATGGAAAAGACACTGCCAAAATCCAACTTGAAAAGATGCGTCTGCAACATAGGCACTATGGTCTGCAAGTACAAACCGTTACTTTTTTTTTTGGCAGAATTCCAGGAGTGGTTCAAAAAAGTTAGGAAGGAGAAGACGTACCAAGCCTTTTACAGACTTTGTATGAAAACATTTAAAGTGACTTCTTCTTAGTATTCCCTTTAATTTAAAAAAATTACAAATTATTTGTCTGAGACTTCGTAGCTTTATAAAATATGTAATTTACCAACAGACAAAAGCAGTAATTGCACGAACTCTTTTAGTAATTTAACTTGCTTTAGCTTATTTGTAATTAAGTTTAACATCCTTATCCATGTAATAATCTGTATGTGTATGACATTGCATATGGCAGGGGGGTAATGTTTATCATTATATTAACATATTAAATAATTTTGATTAAAATTTTCCTTTTTAAATTTCAAATAATATTGTGTTTTTGTTGAAGTTGATAGAGAAGAAAACACTATAAAGTAGTAATAATATATGATAAAAGGTATTAGACTGATATTTAAAAAAAACCAACAAATACTTATTTTCACGACAAAATGCCGCGAATTTAGAACTTTAAAAAATGTCGTTATGCACTATCTCCCCCAAGGAAATTTCAAAAGTTGGCATGTATGTGCCAAGTTACACTGAAATCAGACTAAAACTGTAGGAGGAGTAGCATTTTGAAAGAAATTCACGGAAATTTTTATTTTTAGTGACCATGGCAACACTGTTAATTGACAAAAACTCAAAAAAATGATAAACAAAGAATTATGTATCTTAGTGTAGTCCGTTGTGTGCCAAGTTATACTGAAATCAGACTAAAACTGTATCAGGATCGAGTAGCGTTTTGAAAGAATTTCAAAGAAATTTCTATTTTTAGCAACCATGGCAACTGTTCATTGAAATTAAAAATCGATACACAGAATTACCTATCTAAGTGTAGTCTACTTGTGTGCCATATTCTATCATTGAAATCTGTTTACACCCCCATCCCCCTCTTTTCGCGCCATAAATTCAAGCACTCGTATCACGGCTTCGTTACAGCAGTTCATGCATATTACAAGTGCCAAGATATTCATATGAAATTATATTCTTTCCATTTCATGAAATACTTGTTTTACAATATCAAAAACTTTTAAAATAACCCAATAGCATACATAGTCTGCTTCGGCTGTTACATTCAATTCAAAGCATCCAGACGACTTTTTCCTGATTTTGGTTAAGTCGTACAATTCATAAGTCGTTTAGTTTTCAAAAATCACCTTCAACATATTGAATTAAATTGAATTGTTAGCGATTTTAATAATGCAAAATAAGTGCATGACAAGTCAAGGACATGAAATCTAGGTAAAATAATCTAACTGTGTCCTGGGACAAGCCCATATCGAGAAAAATGTCATTTTCATAATGCACCGAGTAGCCCTACACATGTAGATGCCAGTATGTCATACATGCTTGGAAAATAAATGACTATATTATGCAGGAAACATCGTTTTTCAAAGTAAATAGGCATTTCAGTTTCACAATACTCAAATCGTTAATCGAGGGGGGGGGGGCAGATTCTCTAGATTTCTACAGAAAAAATAGGCAAAAAAAAAAAATACTGCAACAAAAAGTGGAGGGAGGCAGTCAGTCTTGGATTGAAAATTCCCCCAAATTTTCCCAATTTCACAAAAATGGGGGTGGCAGAGGCTCCTGCATCTGTTATCAGGTTATGCACGCGTTCTTCGACCATATAACTACACGTATTTACCTGCATTTTGACAAGAGGTGGAGGGCTGTCCATTTGAACACAAACACAGATTAGGACGGATACATGTTCCCCCACCACATCCAAGCTGGCAGATAGCTAAAGAAGTAAAGATTTCTGTATTAAGTATATAAACAGTTACAGAAAAATCAATACAAATAAATCTTTACTTCTAGTTTACATAAGTTAACATAAGAACCACTGAGATTTATCTGGAGACTTCGTTTATTCACATCTGTAGATAAATAGTCTGACAAATTTTAGACATCATACAGAGATCTGAGCCGTATACATGCTTACGTATGATACATCTGTACTGTCCCGGCTGTCGAGTCCACCCCTGGCAACAATACCTTCTGGAAGCTGAACCGCAGGTATTTGGTCTGAAAAGAAAACTGAGTTTTATCAAAATAAAAATTATAAGTAGCAGCCATATCAAAAATTATGTCAATGAGAAAGAAAATAGAGAGATTTCAAGGTACTTTTTTGTCGTTGTTGTTTTGTTTGTTTGTTGTTTTTTCCCCCAGAAAATCAAATGTCAACATTATTGATCCTGTCCTTATAGTCACTGATATGCTTCACTTTTATCAAAGATTAACCCAATGCATGCCTAAGTGCAAACTCTTGAACCGCAAATGGCTCATTAAATCAGTGTGGTTCATTAGATGGTTCAACCCTACTTTCAACATATTTATAAATTTACTAGAATAACATGTTAATATAGCTTGATTAATAATTTTAATCCTTTGAAAAATTAAGTCCTTTGTGGGAAAACTACTGCATATTCTAGTATGCATCTACTTTCGAATTATGAATCAAAAGTGATCGAGGCCAGTAGCACTGCATGCTTTTTAATGCAATGAGGCCATTTGACGAGAATATATTCCTGGTAAAACAAATTCAATATGTCCTCTGCAAAAGCCTATTAGAATCAAACTGGGGGGGGGGGGGGGGGTAAAACATGTGAAAAGGCGTTCGTAGTTCTCAAATACAATTGATTTTTTCTTTAGAAATACATTTTTTTAAGATAGACAAAACGGGACTTTGAATTTTTTCAATAAGATATAATGAATGATCAAGTTTTGGGCACTTGTTTAAATGATGGAAAAAGATCCTCTTAAAAATCTATATAAGTAAATTACAACATAGATTCTGTGAGGATTACTATCGCATTTTCTACCAGTTTGTAAAAACAGGTATTGGCGGTTTAGGCATGCCCCCCGAAAAAAATCTCAACTTTTAGTTTGTATAACACAGTATCTAAACAAATTAGTGTCAAACCTTGTGCTTCCTAACATTTACATTGACCAGACGCAGTTATACCCCAGAAGGACTCGCTGTAAGATTTTACTGTTTATCACACAAAACATGTTTTATTCTGCATAATAAGGTAAAATTTTAAGTTTTCAGCAACGAATCTCACTGTATCCAAAATGAAGGGAAACCCCAACCAATATAATATATTGCAGTGCTATTACGTGTATAATATTAATTATTAACTAAAAGCTGGTTTTACTAGAGGTCAATTCAGTGGCGGATTTAAGGGAGGGGGGCACCCGGCGCCAACCCCAACCCCCCCCTAAAATTGTCAAAGTTAGCGTGAATCACAGTTTCGTCGAGAAAATGAAACAAGAGGCCCATGGGCCACATCGCTCACCTGAGTAACTTTGGCCATGCTGTTCTTTACCAGATTTCCCCCTTTTAATATACCTATTGTGGCCCCGCCTTACCCCCAGGGGTCATGATTTGAACAATTTAGAATCTACACTACCTCAGGATGCTTCCAAATAAGTTTCAGCTTTATTGGTCCAGTGGTTCTTGAAAAGAAGATTTTTAAAGATTTTTCTTATATATTTCAATGTAAAACTTGGATTCCCTATTGTGTCCCGCCCTACCCCCGGGGGTCATGATTTGAACAATGGATGCTTCCACTTAAGTTTCAGCTTTTCTGGCCCAGTGGTTCCTGAGAAGAAGATTTTAAAAGATTTTTCCTATATATTTCAATGTAAAACTTGGATTCCCTATTGTGGCTCCGCCCTACCCCCGGGGGTCATGATTTGAACAATTTAGAATCTACACTACCTGTGGATGCTTCCATATAAGTTTCAGTTTTTCTGGCCAAGTTGTTCTTGAGAAGAAGATTTTTAAAGATTTTTCTTATGTATTTCAATGTAAAACTTGGATTCCCTATTATGGCCCCGCCCTACCCCCGGGGGTCATGATTTGAACAATTTAGAATCTACACTACCCCAGGATGCTTCCATATAAGTTTCAGCTTTTCTGGCCCAGTGGTTCTTGAGAAGAAGATTTGTAAAGATTTTTCTTATGTATATCAATGTAAAACTTTGATTCCCTATTGTGGCCCCGCCTTACCCCCGGGGGTCATGATTTTGACAATTTACAATCTACACTATCCCAGGATGCTTCCACATAAGTTTCCGCTTTTCTGGCCCAATGGTTCTTGAGATGAAGATTTTTTAATGACCCCACCCTATTTTTGTCTTTTCTTGATTATCTCCCCTTGTAAGGGGACTTGGTCCTTTATTTTAATAATTTACACTCCCCTTCACCCAAGAATACTTTGTACCAAGTTTGGTTAAAATTGGCCTAGTGGTTCTTGAGAAGAAGTTGAAAATGTGAAAAGTTTACAGACGGACGGACGGACGACGGACAACAGGTGATCAGAAAAGCTCACTTGAGCTTTCAGCTCAGGTGAGCTAAAAACGTATCCTCGGTAGACCTCATTTTTACCCAACAAAATCTCCAGAATCCAGGAGCTTACTGGGGCTTCGCACACTGGGTCCCCACCAGGGCTTCGCCCTGGACCCATTGGGGGCCTCAAGGCGGCCCTTTACCCCCTGCCTACTTTTTGCGCCCCCCCCCAACTTCGATCTGCGCCTGGTCATTTACTAAAGATTGTAGATCAATTTATCAAATATTCAAACATAAAGAATGCATCTTGTAGTTTCTTCAGAAGAAAAGTCTACGTGTGCCAGAATGTATCCTAAGTCAGCAGACGATATGAATTGTGTCATCAAATCTGCCTGTCGAGTGTCAAAATTGTAAATTAGAATTACATAGACACTTATCGGCTAGTTTTAACCTAAATGACCAAAAGAAAAACTTAGTAGCTGTTGAATTTCGCCAGGAGAGCTTGAACTTCAGACAAACGAGCTGATAACATTCTAAGAGGTTGTGTACATAGATTTGATAGTATGAACTCTGACATTCTTTTAGATATTTATTTAATTATAACGTTTTATGTGTATTCTACTAAAGATGCTGACTCGTGAAATTCTTTTCACCCTGACCACATTAAAGCACATCTGTAATGTGTTACACAAAACAAATAATTTTCGCAAATAGATTCTCTTTTGATCCACACTCAAATAGAAGCTATGCCTCTCATGTAATAACGTTACTGTATTATGGATTCTCTGAGAAAAAAACAGACACCAAAGTAAACAAAAGTATTCTAAATACACAAGGACTTTTGATGAAGAAAGAGTCTTATGTTTTGCAAGTTTGCAAATGGAGTGTGATGAAAGCGTTAATATTAGTTTACCCTCTCAGTAAGTTAACGTCCTGTCTTGTTGAACCTTTGCTGGTACGTGAGTTAGAACCATCTCTTTGGTAATACGACCAGTAGTTTTGTTGTCTTTTTTTGCTTTGTCCATTCACATAATGTATTTGAATGACACTTAAAATCACGGCAGTGAAGATGATTATATTCAACTTTTCCCTCACAAATTTCATTATGGGTCTACAATGACTTTAACCACAATGTTAGAAAATGGATGAATTCGGCTTTTTTTTCTTCCGCAAATTGATCACACAATATACAAATCCACTTTTTAGCTTGACATTTCTATGAAATCGTGACAAGGCCAGAATTTGGTTGAAAGTCCCAGTAAGGTTCCAACCAGTCAGCTAAAAAAATGTCAGTCAGTTTTATCTCGGTATATAAAACACTTAAATCCCATGCTTCACTTTCCCAAAAATTCCAAAACGTAAATTCTTAACCCGTCTATCAATCTCCTCATGAATGAAACATTTGCGACTTTGTTTTGCATCTAGTGCTACATCTATTGCTATATTTAACGACTACCGAAAACCCATGTGGAGCAGTCACCGTAATCCACAATAAGATGCAGGCGTGTTCACTGTAACCTCTTGTTAATGATACCGTGTTGCTTCACCCTGTTGAACGTTGTCGACCACCTGTTATTTAAAACATTTAGGTAGCAAAGCCCCTGCTCGACGCAGGAATGTCGGGTCCACAATGTCAAGAGCTCTTAACTTTCCTCGAGTGCCAGCGGATTAATATATCTAACCTCTAATTTGTATCATTTCTCTAATTCATACTTATCTCCTACGGGAACTTTGATTGTATAGGCTTAGAGCCTCTGCATTTCAAACTACTTTCTGCGTGTCACCTTAGCAGCAACCATGCTGCATATGTTTACCGTTTGGCGAATAAATGTTTAGATTTTAAAAATTTACACGGCTGAAGATAAAAAAAAATTGGCTCGCTTATCAGCAAAGGTCTAGAAAAAGTGTGAGTATATATCGATATCGCATTACACTGCATTTTAAATGAGCCAAAATGATCAGCATGGATATGTTCTGTACATTTTAGTATGTAATGTATATAAGTGAGTACGTTGTATGTATACATTATAGGTAGTAGACCAGATTTTCAGGACAACAAAGATGGTAAAGCTGATCCAGAGAAGTTTCTGTTTGAATTCCTAGTCCCGAGAGAGAGAGAGAGAGATTTAGGGTGGAGAGAAAGCTTCCTCTTGCAACTTATTCTCTAAAATATTCAACTGGCTCGTAGGAAGCAATTTCAGTTTGGGGAGGGGTGGGGCACAGCCATACATTTTTAGTTGGGGGCACTATCAAATACCCAAAATTCCCTAACAAGCAAAAGAAAAGGTCATCAGACATTTTTTTGAGGGGGCACAAGCATATAGCAGCTATGTTTTCTATAGAAATCTATATATCGGCAAAATTATTGGGAGGGGAGGGGGAACGCCCCCCCCCCCTGGTTCCTACGGCCATGTTCAATATATTTTTAATACAAAACTAAACGAAACCAGAAGTATCACACAGTGTTTTCCGAGACTTTGACTCGAGTTCGATGAATTAAAAGTTTAAAACACAATATGATGAAATCGCCAGTATTTAAATGTATAAATACACATCTGGCTAAAGGATTCTTGTGATTAGTTATGTTATATTAATTTAGCGAACTCGAGTCAAGAAAACACTACATGTGACAATGTTTTCTGATTTCGTTTGGATTATATAAGACGGGGACCTTGATATTAAGTAAATTCATAAACTTTTAATCAAGGTAGGCTTATGACCTTTTGATCCTTGGTCGGATTACTGTAAGAGGCGACATCTGATCATGTGTCTCCGCATATTTTGTTAAACTGTTCCGGTTAGCGTTGATGTGGATGAGTGGATGATCTATTTAAGTATTAACTCTGTGGATAACAGAAAATCTATAATGTTTTATATACAACCAATATGGAGTTGACTTTGATCTAGATTTCCTATTTATGTGCTTCAACTGTACAGTTCATTTTTTCTCACTTTACGCATAAAGATCGAGGTATCGAATATTTCCGATGGAATTGACTTAATTCTTGTTTGATGTCATTTGATCATCTCATACAAATTAATGAATAGATGAAAAGGGGTAGGTTGGTTTAATTGGAGTTCATCTTGGAGTTATTTGGTAAATTAAAAAAGTATCTCTAGAACTGTACATGTTAAGGGCGAGCTATTCTGATTACACTGTACCATCTTCAAAACTGAAAACCAAGTACATGTACAGTAATAAAAAAAAAAAAAAAAAAAATAAAAAAAAAAAAAAAACTAACCTTATCCTTTGCATATCCTTATCCTTTGCATATATATATATATATATATATTGTCAAAGGTGCTTAGACACAGATTTGAACATAATATTTTCTCAAATTTTCTGTATAATATCACAACTTGTATATTGCAATAGCATTTCACACGAAAATTTAATTAAAAACCTATTTTATCTGGAAATTATTGGAACTACGAATTGCGGGACGCGTTTGATTAACACATCTTTGCACTTACACAAATTTTAACTTTATCATTAATATTTAAGAAAAGAAGCGATTTCGTTATGTATTAATGAAAAATATTACATCTATAATCCAGAAAATTCAGAGTAGAAATGTTCGAAAGCAAAACCAACCCATCAGTATTGTCAGTCCGTGCTCTGTGATGTGTACAGAGTTTAACACATTGAACACACGCGTGAAACGTAAACTGTATTTGTAAACTGGGCACGAGCTCTGTTGTTGTTAATGTTTACGATTCACCGGGTGTGTTCAATTGTTAAACTCTGCACACACCACTGAGCACGGACTTACAATACAGTGTGTGGGTTTTGCTTTCGAACATTTCTGGGTTATAGTTTTAATATTTTCATTAATACACAACAAAATTGCCACTTTTCTTAAATATTAAGAATAAAATTAAAATATGTGAAAGCGCAAGGATGTGTCAATCCAACGGGTCCAGAAATTCAAAGTTTTAATAACTTCGAGATGAAATAAGATTTTTATTATATTTTAGTGTGAAATGCTATAACAACATATAAGTCATGAAATTATACGGAAAATTTGAGAAAATATTTACTTCAAATCTGTGTCCAAGCACCTTCAATGTACTCTCCCCAAGTTTTGCTCTGGTTTAATATCGATATAACTGGATATATAGCAACAGACTATAATTATATATTTAGAAGAAATTTTCATGAAAAATATAACAGAAAAAGAAAATATCCATGCGTCAGGTGCCTGTGTTTCGAATAGTCTTTTTTTTTTTTTTTTTTTTTTTTTTTTTTTTTACTTTTTGCTATGGAAAGAGGAAGTGATAATAGAGCTTAGACTTACTTAGGTCATAAATCTATTTCATGATAACGGGTTTTAATCTTTGACGCCTTTTTTCTGTTCCTTATTTTTAAAAATTAACTTCAATGTAAAACATTTATCAATAAGGTTGAGGGGACCCAAAGAGAAATTGTTTTGATCTGTGGCATTGGTTAATAACTAACTTAATGATTTGGAGGATGCAAAAAGGGATCTTTTTTGCGACGCCTTGATTTTAGATAGCTTACATTATGTTCAGTAATTTGCACGTTTTCTCTGAATTTTTTGGGGTCTAAGCCCCTCACAACCCCTTCCATCCTTTCTGTTTCCACTCGATTAGGTTGTAGTAAGTGACAAGAAACGACAACTCTGGGTGCCATTTGGTTGACAATTTCAACTTTACTTTACAATGTTAGAGTTATCTTTCTTGTCCTATTCCTTTGCATAGAGGTGCCCGGGTCAATGCGGGGGTGGGGGGGGGGGTGGGGGGTGGGGGGTATTCTTAACATTTTGAAAAGTAGGGAGAATTGACAAAGTAATATTCAGCTTCTAAAAGGGAGAGGCCAGTTCGTTCTTGGACTGTAATATTGTGATCATATAGAACGCATAGCAGTTGGGAAGACAACTTCAAGTTCAGGAGGAATGGGATATGGTGATTTAAAACCCGTGGTATGGCAAATTCCAAAGATTGGTGAACAGGAGAGACCTATATAAATTCATATTATCTCATGTTATAATAGACAACAGCTTAGCTCAGTTACAGAACATTCTTAAAGAGGGAAAATGCATATATTTAACATTGCTAGGTGGGTTGACCCCCCCCCCCCCTCCCCACCTCTGACACCACAGACCCTGTTGAATTTTCTGAGTTATAATCCTTTCGGATTGATGATAAATTGTGCTCTTTACATTAGCCTATATTTCCTGTGTTATTATATGGAACAAATTAAAATCTTATAATCGAGAGCCGTTTTCCATAAATCACGTCTAACTATCTATATATTATCTCAGAATGTATCTTTAAAGCTATTTTTCTTATAATTTCCTGATTGTCAATACATGCATGTACGTAGATTCACATTTTACAGGTACAATATAGATAAAGTTTCATACTTTATCTTGGATATCAAATCATAAAAAATATTATCTTACATGTATATATGCATATATGTTCATTTTACTTGTTATTATTATTAATAATCACACATTATAATTTGTATCTTGTTTTGCTTGTTTGTTTGTTGTTGTTCTCTCTCTCTCTCTCTCTCTCTCTCTCTCTCTCTTTTGTGTGTGTGTGTGTGGGGGGGGGGGGGGAGTTGCAGCCACTTGTATATGAAATTCCTTTTGCATAACAACTTCGCCAACAGATAGACTGGGGTTTTGAAGCTGGGATAAACACATCACACATACATTTATTTCACTTTTTTATCCCAGGTGTTTTAAGAATTTCCATAAATATTGACCTATACGTCACAACCCCTATTCCAGGGCTCTGGCCTTCGCTCCCCTGTGAGTGATACTTGGTATGCAGATTTCTATAGAAGCTTTTAATTCATACTTTGGGGTTGTCAGCTAAGTCCATTAAACGCCATCAAATCTCACCATGAAATAACTAAACAATTAACCTGTGAAGATTTTCTTGAGTAGTACATTCCTATGTACAATGACTCCTATTGACTTACAATCACGTTGTTGGTGTAAATATTCACAGTTTCCCCTGTGTCATTAGCTACACACACACACCATACCAATATAGTGTTTACGGCCAGTGCGACAATATTGAAAAATCTGTCAATTCGTGAAATTTATGCATAAAAGATATTTAAAAAT